AATACTGTATTACTTATTCAAAATGTAATGTACAAATCTGGGATCTATACCATCCCAAAAAATGGGGGAGCAAAAGATCTAAACCTAGCAGCTTTATCAACTAGTTGATTACCTTTCCTATGGATATGCTCTATCGTGCATATGTTTAGTGATTTACAAGGGCTAGAAATGTCAATAACTATACTCAAAGAGACCAAGGAACAATAGAGATTCCTCGGACAAAATTACATATGATAATAGCATCAATTGTCACCAAAATGCTGGACAATTTGAGTTCCTAAACCTCACAAAGCCCCATACGCAAGGCTTTGCACTCAGCCATAGTATTTGCAGAAGAGACTTGGCAAGGCCTGCCATCACACCCAAGCACTGAGTTGTCCTTAAATTTGATAGTAAAACCAACACCAGCCTGTACATTCTGTGAGAAAAAAGAACCATCAATTTCTAGTATACAATCAAAATTAGACTGTTCAGACAAGTCTTCCCCAGCAGCATTTTGCATTCTCCTCTCAGACTTGTTTCATCTAGTGAAATAATCACAAGCATATTATAAGATCTTGTGCAACAAAGAGGTTGGCTTAGTTTGACGGTTGCTATATTTGGCCTCGTCGTGGAAGAAACCAAAGTTCGGTTTCAATAACAGGGAGAATCCAATCCTTGGAAATTTTATCATCAAGGCTATGTGTTTCCCAAATCCATCCCCACCAATCCAGAGGCCATAAAACAAAAGCAGAAACCTAAATGCTGTTGAATTAACAGCCATAACTCGAATGTGACCATACATTCCAATGAAATGTGATTGGGGGAATCTGAAGAGAGATGACAAAGATGAGAAGGTTCCATCTGGGAATGAGAACACAAGATAACCAGTTAGAGTAGGCAACCTATTCATGTAAGCTTCGATAGGAAGAGCTTCATTTTTGGGGCTACTCTCAAATACCAAATAGCCTTCCAGCCAGACCAACACTCCTCTCTATATCATGGCTGATTTGTCAAAGCCCTTTAAGCTGCCTTGACAATCAGCACCCCTTCGGGGTTTTCCGACCATCACCATCTGTCGTCATTGGCTAAAGCAAAATGATGAATTCTAAGGATACAATCCACCACTGAAGAGCCAATGATCATTACACTCCTATTCACACTCCATTGACCTCCTGAAAAAAGATCAACCACTTTAGAAATCAACAACATTTCATTCACATTTACAAAAAGTAAATGTGACCACCAACAGTCATGCTAGTTGTTCCTGCCTCCAATAATAACCTGAAATCCCTCTCTAACATCCTTAAGAAGATTATGGATGATCCTATCAGAACACCTCTATATATATATATATATATATTAAGAAACAATCTGTAATGTTTGTTTCCTATAGTTATTCTGAGTCTATGAGTTGTAGATGTTGATTTTCATAAGTTTTATCTTTACCTTGTTGGTCATCTGAATGATTATTTAAGAGGTTTCTTAGTTTATTTCACTCTTGTTCTTGTATATATAGGAAATATTTTATTTTAATATATGATGATTTTGTCATTGTTTACTTGAATTACCTTAAAGTTGTCCTTTTTGACTTCACATATGCAAAGACTTAAGTTATGCATCACTAGGTTTTCTTTTCTGGAAAAATTTCTTATACGAATCAATATAATATCATATATATCCCTTAAAAAAAAGCAAACATCCTGTATATTTGTGCAAAACTTAGAAATCTCTCTCCCTTATATGCCGTTGATGGTAGACTTTGTTAGATCCTGTTAGGACCTATTTGCCTCAACATGGGTTGAGGTTGATTGGAATTTATGGCTAGATAACCTGTTAAATGGTTACTAGTGAGACCTAATAGGTCTATTGCTAGGGTGTAGATAAGGAGGTACCTTTAGATTTGTTAGATACATAGGATACTAGCATTTTTGTGTCTAGAATACTCTGGCACATTGCATGGGAACACCAGAAGATTTCCCTTTTTCAGTTGGATCACGCAATGATATAAATTCTATGCTGATTTTTGTAATTTTACAGTAGAGGATTTTCTTTGTGGGAATTATGGAACATGTTAACTACCAAGAATATTGAAGACCTTTTTTTCATTTTTTAATCAACCCAAACTTTTTGGAAATTAGCATTTTATAATGTAGATATGAATCCTTGGCATCTCTTGCTAGGCTCCTTTTGGTCTTTTCTTGTGCAATTTCTCACCCCTTTGGTAGCTCACCTTGCTCTTCAGTCCTCCCTATCCTGTTCCATATTTTTTTTTTGGGCCATCCTTCATGGATGAAGATGGTGATGATGATTCCATGTTTATTTTTGGGGGGTTTGCAATTATTTTGCATTGTCTGGACTTGTAATACATGTAATATGAGACTTGTCAAACATATTCACATATTCTCTCTATTGAAGCTCATCCCTTTGATGTGTCTGAAAATTTTATCAACTGCTGGTTGATATATCAGAAGTTTATTGATCTGTTATGTCAACCTTTGTTGGAGAGATTTATCTAAAGTAGCTATCTTAGCATCATGAGGAAACATTGAAGACTTTGCTTAATCACTGATTTTTGTTCTTTGCTTGAATTGGTTAGTTGCCTGTTTGAATTTTATTAAGAATTTTAGAGCCACTGTCTACATATGTGGAATTGATATTAATTTTCACTCTCTATCTAGACATGTTCAAACTATCCACTCTGTTTTATTTTTCTCCACTCTTTGTTACCTTCTCAACATTAGCGTTAAATGTCAAAAACAATTGCTAATGTTTCAGGACAGCTATATGAAGCAAAAGGTCTCCTTCAAGAAGCTCTAGGGGCATATGCTAAAGCATTGGATATAGAGCCAGCCCATGTCCCAAGCTTGGTCTCAAGAGCAATTGTTCTTAGACATCTTGGTGATTGGTCATTGGATGTCATTAGGAGCTTATTGACTGATGCACTTCGGCTGGACCGGACTAACCATATTGCTTGGTTTAATCTAGGTTTAATTTATAAAGCTGAAGGTGCCAGATCAGCACTTGAGGCTGCGGAGTGTTTTCAGACTGCTGCTTTTCTTAAAGAGACTGCACCGGTTGAACCCTTCAGATGAGGTTTTTTGGAGTAATCAACTCTGTGAGCTATTTTATAAACCTTCATGGTTATGTTTGTTTTCTGCAGTATATAGGATATGCCGTCTGTATTGTAGTTTACTGAAAATTGCAGCTTATAAGATCATTCAGAGTATTACTTGAATCAAGAACCCAGCCTTCATAGTTCATAGATGGTAAATAAACAGAACGAGATTTCCTTATTGCAATTAATCTTAAATAGCAGCATGATTAGTCTGAAGGTGACAATTATTCTTTCTTGAAACTGTGGAGAATTTTCCTGGAAATTTGAAATGCAAAAAAAAAAAAAATCAGCCAAGAAGAAGCAGAACATCAGGGGCTCATTTATTTGTATTTGGTGCATCCAATAATGAATATCTGACGAACATATGAAAATCACTGGCAGAGCTAATACTTGTCAACCATGTGACGTTCCGTTCCCAACTCATTCCTTTATCAACTGTAGCACATAAATGAAAAAGAGACACCAGTATGCCATTGCAGCAGTACATGTAATCATCTAAAGGAAGTTGTCCCCTTTCATAGCATTACTGTTATAGGACATCTTTCTGAGGAAGTTGGAGTTTTTTGCTGAAATTCTAAATGATATACGAGAAATTTGGGTTGAGACTCTACATTCTTTTCTTACGCACACAAGTAAATATTTTTTCTTCTCGCTTCATGAAATGGTCAACCTTTTACTGTTCCACGTTTGATTCATTGATGTCCACATGCATCTTATGGTATGAATCTGTTATGTGGAGTTGTCAAGTTGCATCAACTTTCCCTAGTTCTAGTCTTTGGTTTTAGAAATATTGTCCTCTCATGCATTTTTTCATGTAAAAATGTGGAATAAAAGTAATGTACTCAGCTGTAACCCTTTGATCATCAATATATTATTACTCGGATTGAGGACCAACACCCTTGTGTGCTTGACACATGAACTGTCAATTACAATCAGGTTGTCATTTTAGTGGACCGGTTAAGATTATTAAAATGCCTGAAAAAATAAACATTCAAGAACTGTTTTTTTTTTTGCATGCTTTTTTACTGGCTTACCTAAGAAGCAAAAACTTGGCACTTGGATGAGAGCTACCCAGAACCATGAACTTTCAGAAATTTGACTGAATTTTCCAAGTATTTATGAAGCTTACCTCTAATTTTGAAGTTAAAAGGCTCTTGCAGCAGCTAGGGCTCAAATGATGTTATTATTTACTATATTGTAACTGATGTGAAGTTTAGTGCATGAATCTTTGTTATATTAAAATCTGGTATGGCACTTACATTAAGTCCAAACCATTGATTATTTCCTACTACACCCACAAAATACTTCCTGCTCAAACAATTTTTTTTTTCTGCCAAATGAACTTTTCGTGTAACTATCTTAAGTCCATACCACTGATTATTTCCAAAATTGTTCAGCTTGCACACACTTCCTCTTGGAAATCCTTTTACAGTTTTTTGTTTTCTGGAAAAAGTTAGCTTGAATTTGAAAATTAGTTACCATTAGTCATGATGGTGATGGTATTGCTATCTCTTGTTTGCTGGCTATATGCTAACCTCTCTCCAACTTGAATTTTCACTAAGGTAAGTGGTCTATCGAAAGGAGTTTATGCTGTTGACATATGCCAAATCATTTCAAGCATACTGCTCTTCTATAATACTTTTGGATTGCTCTAGTTTGTTGATTCAATATTTGGGTCTCCTAATAAAGCTTATAGCGATAAGGATCATGAGAATTTGGGTCATATAAAAACATATTCCCACAAACTTGTTTGTGATTGCAAATTTCTTCTCTTGCCTATTCTTCTAAGTGGGTTTACATGTTCATTTGCTCCTGAATTTATAGGCTTCGCATGAAGTTAGATAAAAACAAGGATTGCAATTTTGCTTGATATGGTACAGTAAAGGTGGTACATGTTGGTCTAGCCAGCAACTGGCACATGGACCACTCTGTATCGGGCAAAACACAGGAGGTGGGGGTGTACCACCTGGTACATCCCAGAAACTGGATGAAACGAATGAATGGTACACCCCAGAAACTGGATGAAACGATCGAAACATGATCGTTATTGACATTTTTCGGTCGGTAATAGTTGTATCTTGACCAATACACATCAAGGGTCAGGATTTGTCATGGTCCAATGGTCAATTTGACTGTTGGACCTCAATTTTGGCTTGGTTCAAAGGTTTAAAAGCTTCCTTACTCCCCTCTAAATGACTGTTGGACCTCCTCAACTTTGGTCTAGTTCAAACTTCAAAGGTTTAAAAGCTTCCTCACTCCCCTCTTTCACTCCCTCTCACTCACACAAGTTTCCCCCTCTCTTTCACACTCACTCTTTCGTACTCTCTTAATTGAGCTTCCTAATCATTGATTAGAGGCTTAGAGCTTCAATTGGAGGGATTAAAGTTTTCAAACTTGTCATTTGGTGGAAGATCCATCCTATATGTTTCGATACATAATCTAACATTGCTTGTATCTTTGTAGATGATTCAACATCGAAGAAACGGAAAACATGCTACAAAGTTGCTTCTCAACATCAAGAAAAGATAAATTCGCTATCTAAACCTTATTTCCACTCTATTTTTATTGAAATCTAATTTTAGTTGCATTAAATTTTATTTAAAAGGCTTAAAAAAGGGTTTTCTCTATTCCAAGTATTCAAACATTTTTTATGGTTGTTTGGGTTTGTCAGTACATACCGGCATATGATACGTTGGTAATGACCGGTACATACCAGTCCAGCTATTGACCGGCACCACTGGTCGGACCAAGATGTCAAACCTTGGATAAAACAGTAATATATTGGTTGGTCTATGGACATTGTTAATAACAGAAGCTTGGTGCTTATGAGCTGAATGTTCCCTTTGTTTTGGCGCATGAATTCTGTCAAATATGTTGTGGAAATATGCATTATTACTTGGGAGCATGCAAGCTTAAAATTTATTCCTTATGAAATACATGAAGGCAAGAGGAGATCATCTATAATTCCTTGGCAATGCTGCTTTCAGTACTATGTACACATTGTCTAGGTTTGAGAAGAGAAGTTGACCAAAAACACAAACCACTTGTCCAAACATGCATTTGTAGGGTGTGGTTTAATGGGGCAACTGGCAAGTGGCATCATCCGTCAACTTAAGCTTCGCAAAGGCTCTGGGGGGTGGAATGGAGATATGGTGTTCACTGTAATCTTATACTTCTGGTGGTTTTTTATCATCTTTAAGAGACAAATTCTATACACTTCCAAGGTAAGAGATCTTTTTAGCATACTCAATATTTAGTATTAGTTCTTATCTGAATCTTGTACTTTACAAGTGTGAAACTTTAAGCTAAATTTTGTTTCATTAAACATGGATTTTATCTCGTTGATGTATGTTTTGATTTAACATAGATGCTAAGATGTATCAATATCTCAGTTTTCTTTTATGAAAGATGGCATAGTTCAGTTGCAATTCTCTACTGCATGGTTACAAGAAAATATATTAGTTGCTAGTACTGTATTTGTAATATCCTTTATTTTTAAATTCTTTATGATATCCATGATTTTTTTATTATTTTAATGTGAAAATTCATTTAATAAATTTTTGTATTAAATAATTTTATATTGAAAGTTTCAATCCTAGAATTTGAATGTGATTTGTGAACGTTTTATGTTATGTTAGTGGAGAAAAAAAAAATCCTATTTAAAATAGGTTCACACTTCAATGATATTATTCTCTAAATGTTATTTTGGGGATGTGACAATATTCAAGTTTCAAATGTTGATCAGATTAGTATATTCCTAAACTGGTAGTTGTTTGTTCCACCAAGAATTGATTGGATTAGTATATTCTAACCAGCGATTTAAAAAGGCGCTCGGGCGAGGAAATGTGAGGCTCAAGCGCCTCGCTAATCTCCCAAGCGGCGCGCTTCAAACAGGCGCCGCCTGGGCGCTCGCCCGAGCCCAGGTGCTGGGCGCTTCGGGCGAGCGCCTGGGTTAACCAAGGCGATCGAACCAGGATTTTAGGTCTGGTTCGGTCCTGGTTCGGTCTCCGATGGTTAGTTGGTTCAATCGAACCAACTAAAACCGATATAAGTGACAACCCAACCCTAACCCTCGCGGCTGCCGCTCCTAATCCCGCTGCTCGCCGCTGTCGCTGCTCGCAAACTCTACCGCTGTCGCCGCTTGCAAACTCTACCGCTATCGCCGCTCGCTGTTGTCGCTGCTCGCAAACGCTGCCGCTGTCGTTGCTCCCGCCTCCCGCTGGTCGTCGCTCCTGCTCCCGCTGCCGCTGCTCGTCGCTGTCGCCGCTCGCGCATCCCACTGCTCGCCGCTCCCGCTCCCGCTGCTCGCCGCTGTCGCTTCCTCTTTTCTCAGTCAGTAGGCTCAGCACCCCTTTACACTTCCTTTTAACAGTATACGTATACTGTATACTGTTAATATTATTAAGTTTATTTAAAATAATTAATTTTTAATATTATTAATAGATTAATAATATATTATTTTGATTTTAATAATGTTAATTTTCATTTATTTGAAATTATTGCTAGGTTTCTTAATACTGTTAATTTTATATCTTAGATTTTCTTAATTTAATAGCATATTTTTATTTAAAATTTTAAATAATTATATTTATTAATTATATTATATATATTTATATTTTAGCGCCTAGCGCCTCGGGCGTTTTTGGATCTTGGCGCCTTTTGGCGCCTAGCGCTTTTTAAATCACTGATTCTAACAGGTATTTATCTGTTCGACCAAGAATTGGTACTGAACCATATAGCTCAGTACTGATTGAAAGGAATTGAATACCAGATGGACCTGTATGTACTAGCTAGTATTTATTATACTGGGTTGACCAAGTCCTGATATCAAAGCATATAGCTGGACATTGCTATATATATGATTTATTTATATTTTTTATTGTCTTATTTGAAAATACGAAGCAGCATAGGTTGGTATATCACCTCTTACCAGTCGGATAGATCTCAAAACTGGCACAATCATTGCTGCTGGTGGTACAGTATAATTATACTAGTTTCATACTGCTTTGACGAGGTATTGAAACTGATACTGGACCAGGATTTTGAACCTTGCTATCATTTAAATATTGAGGCTTGTGCTAGAATTAGTTCTGTTTTAATTGAGGCACAGGAAAAAAAAGAAAGGAAATGAATTGAGGTGTGCCATCAATGCTCCTTATAGATGACTTACACTGAGCCATGGTTTTTATTTTTAGATGGATTTGGTAATTTTGAACACTGCCAAAATGTTCTGAGATGGTAATAGGTATGAGTCCTTGCTGTGTCATCAGACAACTTCATTTGTCTCAGCCAGCTGTCAAGACACCTACTGTAGAGGTTTAACCGTGATATCCAACAACCCCATGCTGTAGAGTTCAGGTTGTGCACTCTGTTTTGGCATGTTACGGGCATGAGCTTGTCCGTGGAAAAGTAAAACCAAGTTTTCAAGCAGGAAACCTGCTGTTGGCATTCTCGTAAGGAAATGCTGCCACACTGGAAATGCTCTAGGCAGGACATCTTTGCTGGATGTAGCTTTCTTCAAAAAGAGGATGGGATAAGTCTGGAAGTCTCTAACGTTTGCTTAAAATTTCAACTATGGTCTTGCATAGAAGTAGAAAACAAACAAGTATCATCATGGAGGGACCAATAAAACAAGATTTTAATATACCTTTCACATCAAATTTATTTGATGAACACAATTTAAACAGTAAAAATACTTGTAGATGTTCTTCAATCCAACAAGAAAACAAGTTATTTGAAGAACATAATTAATTCCAACATCCATAGGTGCCTTTAGAGACATTCGAAGAGGTGTCTATTAAGACCTAAGAGATTACATCTTGCCCCATGTTCTATTAACAAAGTTTATTCAGGAGATTACTCCTTGTTCCATGTTCCATTGAGAAGATCTATTTATGGGCACTTCATAGTTATTTTGATCGACAGTCCTAATGATGCCTTCAGTTACTTTAATAAGAACATTGCCATTTGGGTGTTCTAATTCAACCCTTTAATATTTTTAAGCGGTATGTCACCTTTTGTAGAACTTATTGTGGTGGCTATGTGTGATTCCCGCACACGAGGTTTGTGAGATACCACATCAACCCGAACTTTCAACGGTGATTCAGCCCATCTAATTTATTTGTTTTCCATTTCATGTGATGTTTTTGAACTGCTTTGTAATTTCTACAACAGATTACTTAATGCAGTTTTCTTTATTGCCTTGATCAGGAGTTTTACATGTTATTAATCGTACATGTTGTCAACTAACCTTCTAAACATGTCTTTCATTCTATGTTAGTAATTTTTAGATCATCTTCTCTTGTTTAGTGTTTATCCTATGCTCCCTTTAATGTATGCAATCTCCCTTTAGTGTATGCTATCTTTCTTTGAGTAATTTTCAGGTCCTGATATTGTCACTATTGAAGTCTTAAATTTAGGGGGCATGTTGTGTCACATTCAACAAATATCTTGTGCTTGATGGCCGTCTTCATTTTCTAATTTAGGGTTTGAGTTTGAAATACATCACCAGAAGTTTTGCTACAAGATTTTCCTTGTTTTGTTGATTTGTCCGATAGCCAGCTATGCTTTATTTTATATTCCTAATCAACAGGCATCATGCGACAGGATCACTAATTCTCTGTTTGATTTTGGAACTTGTAAGGACTGTTGCCTTCTCCTCGAGTGCATATCAATCCAGAATCTTGGCATTAGCAACCACATAGGCTTTAGAAGAATCTGATCGGAATAACATATGCCCCATTGAGATCTTGAAGCCTTATTATGTGGTTGATGAATGCCCTTGGAGGAATGCCAAGAGGTGATGTCAGTTTCGATTTGACATGCATTCCTGTACAGTTGAATGTAGTGTGCCTAAGCTAATAATTGCGGAAGGATATGGTTGGTATCGATGACATTAGGCCTGTCAAAAAGGAAAACCGAGGAAGATATCATGAATGAAAAGCATTTACCCAAAGGGGGTGGGTGATACATCAGCATCTACATTCTCCAAGAATGAAAAGCATGGTGGGGAAAACGATGACGACAACGGATGGAAAAAGGTCGGTCGGTATGTATCTCCTTGATCTGATTCAATGAAGTTATGATTTAAATGTTGGGTTGTAAGTTGTAACACATCTTTGGGACATGATGTTCCGATTGGATCACAACCTGCGAATGCTGCTAGATTGGTTTCCATGCTGGTCTTCTGATTGAATAACTGCAGATGAAAACAATGTTATCCTGAATGTTTGTTGCAAAATGCAATATGGCTTATGAATGAAAGCCTATATCAAGTAAGATTCAGCTTTTTCCATTTGATTCTATGGTCTGGCTCTTCTCTTTTTTGTTCTCATTTTTTTATGCCTCCCTTTCTTTTCTTTTCCTGCTGCAATGTTCATACCAATTATGAGAAATTTGGGATATTCACGTTTTCCAACTCATGCCCAAAGTAAAAGTTACGGTCTCTTTGATCCCAAAGAAAAAGTTCCAACCATATATATCTACAGAGAACGCATAGTGTTCCTCTTGGATGATGTTATATAAGGGTTCAACATATCCCTAAGAAAAAGTTTGTTTGTTATATAAATGATGCTGGCCCCAGAAATCAATTTGCCTCTGCACCTTACTTCCTCGGTGACGGACGAAGGGTTGCTCTCTCCACCTGCACAAATTGTCCGTTTGCCACCGTCGTTGTGTGTTGTATTTTCCCAAAGATTCGCGTGCTTAAGAACGAACAGATGCAAAGTCAATTCAACAACGAACAGAGTACACACACCCTTCCATTTTCAGCTGTGTGAAAACTAGATTTAACTTAAGCCAGACAATACAACAAAGCATGAGAATCTCCAACAAGGTTTGAGGCAATGAATCAGTCCAAAGTACAAAGGCCACTTCCCATCACTCCATTTAATTGGAACCTCATCAGTGTGATCTGGTGACAAGTCACATATACGTAACTACAATGAATTTAACTACTCGGAATACTATAATCTAATGCTGACCACATGAGGTCTGATTAATATCATCCTCCTTAAACCTCCGTACCAAAGTCTACTGAAAACAACTCAAAACGGCCAATGCCACAGCCGCATTCATCTACGAAATCGTGCCAAATACATATCATGTGGGAAAAAGCCAGCTGTCACAGTCTGTTCGCCGTAAGTCCGGCCGTGCAAACAGTGTGCTGCCATGCAAGTAGCTTCTGTCCTTAGAAACTCCACAAAAACACTGCCTGGTTCAAACAAACTGACATCAAAATCCTGGTGATCCTCTTTGTCACTAGTAGCTTCTTTGTCAATTCCCGTAGGGTATGTGGACAGGTGCTCATCATCTTCTTTGGTTAACTCTGCTTCCTTGGCAGACGAAGTCTGTAAGCAAGTATTTTCTGTCGATGCTGGATCGACATCTGAGGATAATTCTGCTTTTTCGGCAGTGATGCTACTCAAATCAGCATTTTGTTCCACCTCAGCGGCATCCTCACCTGGCTTTGGTGTTTCAGAAAACAAACCAATTTCAGCACCAATTTCTACAATCACATCCTTTTCAGTCTCCATTGGTTGGTCAGCTGCGACATCACCAATCTGTTGGGCATCTTTTGAAGTAGTTGAGCCATCTATTTCACCAAAGACAATATTCTCCTCGATTTCTTTCAGAGGCATATTGTTATTATTTTTTATCTCTACGACATCATTCCTGATATCTCCAGGCCTTTCAGCATCTTTATGAGGTGCCATATCTACATCTTGCTTGCTATCATTACTTGGACATTCCATGCTAGATTCTGCCTTGACCAAATACCCACTAGGATATGTTTCAAAATTCTCAGTAGCAGTCCCAAGATTGCTGATATATCTTATAATATTGACTGCTTTAACAGTTCCAAACCTGTCGATTTAAATCAAAAAGAACTCTTGTGATGCTTTTAAAAGCATAGACATGTTAGAATAATGATTTATATGGCAACAAACGCACCTTGTACATTCCAATCGTATATCTTCTATAACTTCCTCCAATTCAGATTCTGATAGCAGCAAAAACTCCTCTTTGTTGAACTTTCAAGCATTAAAAGGAAGATCGTCAGTTGTTAAAGGAAACTAAAATAATAGCAAGTATATCGTAATGCTCATGTCACCAAAATATCTCTTTTTGTTTATGGTTTACAACCAAAATTGATTTGGTATAGCATACCACATTTTTAAGCTGAAGGACTTTTGTTGATGGCCCGAGTAGTGACTTGGCATGCACAGGAATACCATAACATGAAACAATTTCAGCGTTCTCCTGAGAACCGACGGTTAGCAGGTCAACTAAAATTCCATCAGTTCAAACAAGAAACTCATAACAGATTGCTGAAAGTAACATAGCCTCACCTGGGCATCAGGAAGTGTTTGAACTGCAGTTAGAACACGCCCACCAAGCTTCATCCCATTCAGTCCAGCGCATGCTTTTGAAGTAATCGAATGATCCACATACTGTCACATCAAATTACAGCGTCACAAGCTGAATACCATACATGTCAACAGCATAATACCAGGAAAGTTCAAGCAGCTAATGCAAGAATTGGGAATTTTTTATACCTCTAAGAAGGCACATGGTCCATTAAGTTCTTTGTTAAATTCAAAGTGGTAAGCATTTAGAGTCCCAAATGCACCAACAATCTCCATAAGCTGAAAGAACAGCAATCAACAATCAACTAGATCGGCACTGGTTGTCATTTATTCCATCAACCAGTGGAAAAGGATGTTGGACATCCAAAAAGATTATGTTTTTTAATTCTCTTAAAAGTGATCTTTGAAAACTTACCATATTAGATGAGATAGCCTCAGAAATTCCTCCAATGAAAATCTGCAATCACAAAAAAGCATTACCGGACATTTAGATGTTAGCACGTTTGAAAAATTCAGACCAGATTTTGAAGTTTCATCCAATACTTTTGAATGCCAAAAGTCGAAATGCAGTAGATTTCAACTGCAATCAACTAGTTCACATGGGCTTGGCCAAAATCTGGTCAAAATTCAATACAGAAGGTGTACTATATAATCACTGAAGATGGGAGGCCTTTCATTCTCCTCTGGTCAACTAGAAAGTCCCAGGTAAAGAATAACAAAACTAGGCTCTGAAAGTAATTTCCTTATATACAACACATTTTTTACAATCCTTGACTTTCAAACTTTGAGACTTGGAAACTTAAGATTAGTTTCATAAATTCAGCTTTTTAGATAAGATTTTTGAGAATTTAATAAGATTTTACAGGAAAAAAACAAAGAGGGTTGGAATTTTTAGCTTGACTTGGAAAGTTTTAAGCAGATATCTGACAAACATAAGTTGTATTTTCTAGCAGGGGTTTAAGTTTAAGATCTTATATAGCATTTAGATAAGGAATTTGTGGAAGTTTATGTATATTAGGCTTTTCATACTCATGAAAATGTTTTAAAATACTTTTCAACACAACAATCAATCCTTTCAATTTTTCCAACTTCCATTCACACTGGACTGGACCACCCGAAAAGGGCTGGCCCCTGGCCCCTGGCCCATATAGACTCGTCCAAGCAGTATTTAAAACTATGCTCCAAAAAGACGACAGAATTGAGATCACAAGAAAACTGAGTTTGATCAAACCATGTCTGTTCTTCACTTGCTACAATAAGATCTTATAAGATGGTTTGCTGGTTATTCCTAAAATATCCAACTGGCATAATGAATGCAGAATAATCTTTTAAGTGAAGAAATCAAGTGTAATAATATTTAGGATGGCTACTTTCTTTGATGGTACCGGTTGGTAAAGATGGGTAATTATCAGTCTGACAGCCTACCAATACGTGAACCAGGCAATTTCATTTGGTCCCATCAGAGAGTTTATTGCCTGATAAGCCTGTCACCTCCTCTTTCTTTTTTTTTTACTTTCTGGTCTGAGCAACAAGTACCGAGTGCCAGTATGCTGACCTGCACTGATACCATACCAGTCCAACTAATTATCGGTGGTAGTGTTGGACCCAGTTTCTAATTCGTGGTCTTTTGAATTGTGCACACAAGTTAGACTGATCACTAAGAGAAAAACTTTATTTGCCTCAAAGAAATTACCTTAACAAATTATAAATTCATAAGGTCTTGATTGTCTCAACAACCCCCTCATTTTTTTCAACGTTACCATGCAATGCTACAGATTTCAAGCTATGATAACTGACCAAAGGCAAGTGAATCAGTCATCGATCATTATATATCCATTAACAATAAGAACATGAAGCTAATAGAAAAATAATATGCCTCTAGACTGGTACCTTATGGGATGAATCCTTCACAAAATCGTCTACTACCTTAAGCTCTTCCTTTGGTTTCTCTGGTGCAACAGTCTGCATGAAAATAAGAAGTCTGAAAAACTTGGACAAGGTCATCGACCATAATACACCCCAGAAAGCATCCTCTATCCAAACAAGAAGCTCTTACAAGAATCATGAATAAAAATACTACAAACACAATCTGGAAAAACTGCATAATAGATATATATGCAGTGCGCATACATACATTAACCAACAAGAAATTGGCAGGACACTCGATGGTCCAATGATAGCAAAATTAGATACTCATTATGGGTACAAAGTTTACAAATGAAGAAAAGACAATCAGAAAACAGCATTTCCATGGACGAAATGACATTAACTAGAGATGTAGGAGACAAACAAATTGACATCACAGTTGAACACAGTCATATATCATTGTGTATTGAATGGTACCAGAATCATATACCAGCAGCTAAATACCAACATGTTAAATAACTTTTTAAAGTGTACTGGGGCATACCAAACCAAACCAGTCAGTATATACTAGTCTGATAAGGTTCCAGTATAGTTACTATTACTCGTACCTAAATCCATAAACAAACCTATCATATTCCCATCATAGACAGTGATGAATGACACTAATCACAAAAGTGCACAAGCAGAAAATAAGAACCTGGGTTTGCTTGCTGATACCAGATAAATTGTTGATAACAGTACATTAAAATGAGATATGAGAATAACAGTAAATGTTTCCATTTCTATCGGTAGAAAATTTGTCGCACATGAAACCACTTGTAAGAGCTAAGAAGATTTAACACACACACTATAGATAAAATAATAAAATTTAAACATGACAATTAGTACTTACTACAATTACTTATGATACAAAAGGATGGACAACACTACCCATGATGCAGGAATGGAAATACAAAACTGAGGATTAGTTTCAGATATTGGATAAATGGTAACCATACATGAACATGTTATATGACATCAACATTGATGTGACCACTTTTTTTTACTTTGTAACACATGAATTTATCTATAAGTGTAAAGAAAGAACAATCGACATACAAGCTAGCTAAGTGGACATGTTCATTTAAAGTAGAAAAGAATAAATAGTGACAAGACAAATAATTCACTAACTGGAAACAAATAGATATCCTGCACATCTTAATGCACAACAAACAGAAAAAATTTAAAATGCTGGCATGAGTCTATGTGGTACGCTAACTGGAAACGATTAGATATCCTGCACATCTTAATGCACAACAAACAGAAAATATTTAAAATGCTGGCATGAGTCTATGTGGTACGCTAACTGGAAACGATTAGATATCCTGCACATCTTAATGCACAACAAACAGAAAAAAAAATAAAATGCTGGTGCGAGTCTAGGTTCCCACATAGCCATCTAAAACTGGTCAACACTTGTTCCACCAGTGTCAACCACCCTTTCCCCTCCATCACCAATATAGCATTATTGCCGAGATTTTTAATATCTTAGGTTCAGAAAACTAAGTTAAGATAAAAGAAATGTATCCCTTCAATAAAGGATAAAATGAAAGAGAATAGTCTAAGTTGGCATAGACATATGCTTAGGAGACCTACGGAATATGGTGAAATGATTACCGTTAGTAGTACAAGATAGAGGAAGACCTAAAAAGATCTAAGAAAAACTATAAATAATTATTTAAATCCTCTTAACTTAACTAAATATATAATTTTTTACACATTTCAATAGTGGCAAAAAATCCACAGCCAACATAAAATAAATGACTTACAGCTTTGTTGTTATTGTTGTTGTAGGTTTAGAAAACCAAGTTCTTTCTCTGCCCCTCTCATCATAAATGATGTAACTTGCATTTATATTAGCTCTAAGAATCATTCAGTTTAGACCTTAGCAATATCCAACTTGATGGAACTTTCTTCCAAGCCTAACCCTAGAATGGTTCTCATATATATCAAATGGCAATGCCAAGTTATTAGTTTTCATAGGCTTTTCTTCGGCTCTAGCAAGGAAGCCAAATACAGATGGGGAAATGCTCAAGAAGGCATAGATATAAGATGAGCTGAGTAAAAGTGGTTGCTTAAAAGCCTAAGTTAATAAGTTGGTCTTCTCATCTTCAGCATTTCAAAAATCCTATTATTGAATATTGTCCATTAAATGGATTTCTTTACTAAATAGACTGGAAATCCAACAAAGGGTGGTTCTTCTAAAGATGGGTAAGCAACTGGAAGAGGTATTTGCCTGAGTCAGATGCACCACTTTACCAGATTCCTCCTGTGATAAAACTAAAAATATTTCTTTGAAGTAGTTCGACATTACCAAGTATTAAGTTTTTCTTTCTTTTTATGGGGCAGTAAGTGGAAGTGGCGAAGGTGGGATAGATTCTATCCCAGGATCTTGCTATCAACAACTAAGATCCTCATCAGCTAAGCTATTGGCATGTTTGAGTATGACCTCTCAAATCTTACCAATGCCTAAGTGAAAAACTGATAACAAGGATTGCCACTTCTTGGTACAGAGGCACTGCCTAACCTTTCTGCAAGATACATAACACACCTTCATGCCAAGATACATGACGTACATGGCAAAAAGGTTTTGCGATGTGATGGCAAAGTTAGGCAGGTGCAGGCCCATGCCCAATAGCATCAGTCCTTAACTGATAGAATATATGAAAATCGTTGTGCGGTCATTAACAAACAATAGTTCAAAATATCCTTCAAAAGATGAGTGTAGATGCAGTAAGCATAACCAACACACAATAAGAATAAAGAAGAGATATGGAACAATGTCACGGCCAAAAAATCTGCATGGTTTCACACATCATTCAAAGAAAGTACAATAATTTTCTGATAATCCACTTAAAAGAAATATGATGCATTAAGTGATTGTGCTAAAGCAATGAACTAAAATAAGCAACTTAGATATCTATTTCAGAATTAAATTATTTAATTCTCATTTTAGCATCAACAATAAGGATCAAATGGTAAAAACTTCAAAAACCTACAGGACATACAAGAAATGATAATTAAAGAACCACTAATACAGGTAAGAACACAGCAAAGGACAGAAAATAGGCAAAGATTTATCTTCTATCAGCGCATAATAACTACTGAAACTTGTTCGCTAAAGTCAACAGTAAATATATAAGAGTAATTCTTTGCATTTGAAAAATAAAGTTCAATTAACTGAACTCATGTGACATACAATTTACTAGTGTAGGCAAAACGAATATGGCTCTTGGACTTGCCTCTAGTTAAGTTTCAAAACTACGTCATAATTGCAAAAGAATAATGAAGATATCAAACTTCAATTATTTCCTAAGATGACACATATCTAATTGTCATCTAAGAAATTTAGCCACAAATTATTTGTTGAATGAAAAACCTTTACCTAGATTAAAAATTTTGAAAGAAGAATCATGACATCTAGAGAATAAGGAAACTAGGACTTTTAGCTAATTATTTTAGACAAAACCCCCACCTCTATGATCTGTTCCAACGACTGATGAACAATATGGATGCAGTAAAATCGAATGGACAAGCTAGATAACTTTTGAAAAAATTGCACTGCCCCTTCAGTTCATATCAAAATGACAGAGAACCATCATAAAATATAACACATCTTATTGCAAAATAGACAAATAATATCCTTCGTGAACCAGATCTTTGACTTCTCCGATAATGTAACCTCAAGTTGTGCCAAAGTGCCAGCATTCTTGATGATAGTTCAGCTGACATCATTTTGTCAAGTTTGCCATAAATTTAAAGCAAACACCAAAGAATGATTCACCAGGAAGGACTCTACTGAAAGTCAAAATCACCAGAAATCAGTTCCGAGTATAAGCAGTACATCGCTCTACACCTGGAAGTCAGCTTTATAAAGTCCCCGCTTTGTCACGATCATGAATGTGAATTATGATACACCCAATAAAAATACCCTATTTAAAAGAGATTCCAACATGATAGTCAGACAATGTTTCATTGTGGAATATAATTATCATGCCTTATGCAAACCAAAATAGCAAAAGTGAAAAAATAGCTGCTAATAGAAACCTCAAGAGCAATCTTCAGGATCTCAACATAAAAGAAACAGTAAGCTACAACAAAATAAGACATTTACTTCCATAGTTCAAGCAACAGAACATACTACTGTGTGGAAGTTTTCGTAGCACTTTTGTATGTAAGTCCTCAGAGTAACAAGAACAATGAACTTCATATCAAATAATTCAGACACGACCAAGAAGGGTCATATAATTATAAATCAGAAACAGATTAAAAAATATGTATATTAAAAAGCATATGGATATTCCATCTATAAGTTAAAAGATAAAAATGCATGATGGCAGCAAAGCACTCTTCAAGTATTTCTGGTTATTACAAGAAAAGAAACTGACAGTGCACACATGCCTAGAAAGACAGTTGATGGCAGCATAATACATTAATAAGTAGTCCAAAGAAATAATTTCATGTTTTTTCTTGCCCAAAAAGAAATATCAGGTGTTTATTACACAGTGCAACATAGCGGACATAATATGCTCTTAGAATGAAATAACTAGCATTTAAATGCACCAAACTGCATCTAGGAACTACTCAGTATGACCGAATAAATGAACAAACAATACAGAGAAGCCTAGAGAATCACAAAACATTCTCACATGGACAGCTCATTTTAACAGCAACATCAGTTAGGAATTCACAGTTACATCATTAACTAAACATGCCAGAAAAATGAAAATCTGAAAAAAAAACATGATGGACATTTATAAATATACTAACACTAAGCTGCTGGAACACATCTTCTATGGGCGAAAGGTAAAAGTGGACATCTAATAAAAACAGTATAACAAAAATGAGATGCTTTGTCAGTTAACAGTCAAAGAACAAGGAAGTATTTGCCACATGATTGCTTCATTTTAGCTAATAAAAGGATCACTTGAAATATTTAATTGGACCCACCAAGTGGATTTCTGGTCACCAATGTAAATATATACCTTTAGTTATCTGTCATACAGGCATAGTATTGAAAGGAAACTTATTAAAAGCAAATAGGACGACTTATGGTTATCAAATTAATTTTTAAGCAGATCTAGGACTTTTTATATTCAAGAATCATCTAGTTTATCTAATTTGGTAGTGGTTACATAAACCACGAGTGATCTGACATTTTCAAGTCATAACAGTTTAGGACTTGCCAGGAATAAGCCTTTCAAACATGTCAAGAGTTGGTATGAACTGTAACATATTAATATGCTAGTAGTCAAAAGACTATTGATTTACGCGTGAATGCTTGATTTGTTCAAGAAGGCTATTTAACCGCATACCAATGTCACCCTAAGTATCATAATAGCAAACAAATCACATCCATGCAATTGATACAGGAAGATAGAGGATGATGCTACATCACTTGTTATAAACATATGCATCCCTTTATGCTAAAAATCTCTTAACACAATGCAATACAGAGATTGTATACAATACATGAGCATTTACTTCACAGTAGGAGCATTTAGATTCTTAGTGTCCGCAGCATATAGGAAATAGCAACAATATTAAACTTCTTGCCCTGGAAAGGAGGATAGAACATGTTGATAATTTATCAATATTTCACTCAACATTTATGGCATCAGTAGATACACTATCAAGCCATAAAAGGAATTCATTTATAAGACTGAAGCATCAAAAGGTGGATAAGAACAAAACTTTATGATGGATGCAACATAAGTTCAAAAGTTATAAACTCATCTTGAACTAGAACATGGTTATCAAGCTTAAATCTTGCAATGATCTCATCCAAGTAGATATTTTTATTATACCTTTGCTACATTACCACAATAAATGAACCAATCTCTTCTGAATCTCTAACAAATAGATTGGGTTCTTGGATCTTTAGTTTAGAGAATAATAAGGTCTAACAAAAAAGTGAAGTTATCCTGACCACTAAAATGTTGACATTCCACCCTAAAAGACCATAGTCTGTCATCCACCCAACAAACATTTACTCAATTCTTACCTCTTGCATTTTGCTTATAATTGGCAATCTTGAAAAAATGTATCTATAAGAAAAACATAAGATTCACCATGATTATTGAGGTCTAGGCAAGATATTATTCTGAGCCCCCCCATACAATCTATAAATTCTATGTACTCAGTGTTCTTCACAATAATTGTGTGGACTGTAGTTAACCCATACAAGAAGTTGTAAACAGGAAATGGCAGGGATATGGATAATTAGAAGTCTTACTGCTGTTTCAACAAAATCTTTAGGCCTTCTGATTTTAAGAACAGATCCAGAGATTGATCTTCCATCATATGAAAGGGCAGCAGTAGCATCCTGTGGTGTGAGAAACTCAACAAGAGCCTGACTTTTCTCTTTATTTAACTGCAGAAAAGTAAATATGCAAATAAGACCAATCAACAAATAACTCAACAAACTGAATAGAACATGTGAACAGACAAACTACAGTTTAATCATCCATGTGAAATAAAATTTCCACTTACAATACAGCTGATACATGGACTAGTTCCTTTGATGTGATTAACACTAGATGAGACTAAAAGATTATTAAGAAAATCAACCAGTGTCTTTTCAGATGCAGATGCTGGTAAATTTTCGACATAAAGTCTCCTCGTCCGGCGGGTTGCTTGTGTTAACTGCACAGAATCAATAGATGTGCTCATGACTACAGATGCAATCTCTGATGAAGGTGCATGCTGGTGGATTTTGGCAGCTGGTGTGACTGGACTGACTAGAGCTGGCTCAAGCATTTTAGTGGCAGGAGATTTAAAAGTATCAGGCGGGACTCCAGCACCAGAATTCTTTGCATCAGGAGGAGGTTGATCCCATTTGGCTGACTTTCGTTCTGGGTATGGAATAGTTGGAGATGGAGTCCTAACAGCTGCCTCAGGTTTTCTTTTCCTTGGCGAGTAGCCACCAAGTCCGCTCCCATGTTTATGGTAATGTTTGTCCCCATCGGAATGCTTCTTCCTTGACTTTTCTTTCAAAGATACAGATGAAGATTCTTCATATTCTCGTCCATGATAGGATCGCTTATGTCCACGAGGTGAGGATGAGACAGACCTGCCTCTTTCTCGTTCACATTCTGGGCTCCTAGACCTTCTCCTTTTCGACTTGAGCTGCTCAAAATAATGCTTGGAACCATCCTTCCTCCTATCATTTCTTTCAGCATATTCAGGGTGTCGTGATTTTCCTAAATCATGCCTCCTCAGAGTAGAATAATCAATTTCCAATCTATTCCTTTCATCAGCATAACTGTGCTCCTTTTTTTTCATCTCCCCTCTTGATTTTCTGTCTCTATCATCATGTCTTTCCTTTTCAGTGGTATATTTTGGTTGTTTCTTTTCAAATTCCTTGGCAGAACTATTTCCCAGCTTGTCACCATTTCTGCTCCTAGGATGATTCTGTTTCTCGTTCAGTCTTTCTTTATCCTTGTTACTCCTACTGTAGATTGATTTTGGCTTGTGATCAGCGTAGAGTTCAAGCTTATGCTTATGCATACCTTCTAAATCACCATCCTTCACCTTATATATTTTTTCTTTTGTCTTCTTGGAGCTCTCTTTCATGGTATCTTTGAAATCCTTCATGCCAGCCCTATCAGCATCCGAGCGATCTAAGGTGACTTTTGCATCATCTTTCACAAAGTGTTCCTTAAAACGACTTTCTCTTTCGTTACCATCTGCTGTAAGTTTCTTTTTTCTCCTCAACATAATCTCTTCAAAACTGATAGGTCGTGTGCGGGCAGCAGTGCCTTCATTATTGATCCCAGGCGCCTCCTTTCTCCTGTTCGTTCTACTCATCTTTACTTCAACATAAGAACAACTACTACACTAAGAATTTAATCAATCCTCCACAGATTATGCAATAACGAGGAGATTTATCTTCTCATTTCCAATCTTTATCTCTTTCTCTCAGGCTAGTTTCACTAAGAGGATGGTGCAAAAGTAAACAGCATGAGCTCCTCCGATGAACAACAGCGAATTCTTTGGAAATCTGCAGTACAAATGGTAGCAAAACGGTGGAATAACACAAATGAAGAAAAGCCACATTAATTTACAAGTGAAAAATTCATCAAAATGCAATTATTGAGTATCCACATGATCAAACAATCATAGCCGCTGCAATAAGTTTGGATAACTAACTTTGAGATCACTACTGATGACCAAGATTAGGTTTTTCCCAGGACCTAATTTCTAAAGAATCTCACAGCAAATTGTTATTAGTTGCAAGTGACAAATTGCTAGAACAGGTAACTTGTCGCCACAACCATTACAAATGACATAACTCTTTTCTCAATAATTGCTCCAAGAAAAGAGACTGTTAAGTAATTTAAGCTAGTTATATGCCAGCATCTCCTTCCTCCGAATTTATCCTGTCATGTGGTAACAACATCCTATCCCCTCACCTAGTCAACGCTAGGGTAAATCAAGCTCGCTCCAAACTATTAAAGATGGAAATTCTCAATCGAACTTACATACAAATAAAACAGAAAGCACCATCGCATAAAAACGTCGACGACCAAAAAAATCCTTGCAAAGAGATTAAAAAGAAATTCCGATCTTGAACAGACCTTATTACTGCGCAAAACCTTTCTCCATTGTTGTTGTTAGGAGAACAAAATCGAAGAGGCAGGGCGAGGAAAAGAGCGTTACCAGGCGATTTGGGGCCGGAGGAAAAGATTGCTCATCGCCGACGAGTGAATACTTCTACGCGAAGGCGAGAAAGAGAGAGAAAGAAGAATGGGGTTTCCTTAGAGGGGCCTCTCGTGGGTCGACGGTAACCAGTTGCCTCGGGTTTGATCATTTGAGAGGAAGTTAGCTGTCCTCATACGTGCAAGGTTCGGGGAAAAGGCATATTTCATTGTTGGAAGGAGTGGGGCCATCCACAAAAATTCTTCTGAAGGGAGTTGACTTCCGTATGTGTGCAGTTTCCTGTCTTAAAGGAACAGCTAAGGGCGATCGAGGCTGGGCTTTAGGGTTTGGTTATGATTGGGCTCATGTTAACTAAACGCCGATCAAGAATGTACCGCAGCCCACAAGCCGACACGGCCCAACTTTACGGTGGGCAGAATATAACAGTTTATTTTAGTGCCACATAGTAAGCGGATAAAAATTTGAGTCGATCTATAAGGATTTGATGGGTTCAGTATCATCAATTTGAACCCATTATGAATCGATGATTTAGACTTGGTATTGGGAATGGCGAGCTTCATGCATAGATAAGGTTAGATCACAACGTAGAGCCCCGCTCCAAGGCCACATTAGTCAAAGTAGAGCGTGTGTATGTAGAGCCTCAAGTTGGAACAACTTGATGTGTTCCATCAGTATCTATCATGAACTAGTTATGATAGACAATAAACATAAATTGCAGAGAGTACCAGGGAGTCATATTACAGATGGAGCACTACATTAAAGAACCATGCCCATGACAAAACAGAGCATCTCATGAGCAGGAGAGAAGTCGAGGAATGTCGACAACAAGCTGTTCTCAGTTCCGACGAAGCCGAATCAGGAATGAACGAGTACAATCTTACAGTAGAATAATACCAGCACAAATAGAATTTATTCTGAAGTCGATGTCTTTTAGAATTTTCATAACGAGACCATATCAAGCTGCCTTCTCAGTTTTAGTTCTACTCGGTCACCACCGATTACAGTATTGCAATTGGGTGATCGCATTGCAAGCATTATTGTGAAAGAAAGTCGACTTCTTTTAAAGTATGCATATACAGCACTTGAAAATATTGTACACACTTCTCAATGCTTCAACTTGGAAACCATGTGTTCAGATTTCTGTAAAACAAAAAAAAAAGATATTAGTTATAATCAGCTAAGATATAAATGGATATGTCTATAAATAAATTGTGGAGAACATTCTCTTTCTTTGACCTTGTTAACTTTGATATGTATGTTTTATAGTCAAAGTCAACCAGGTCAAAGAAAGAGAATGTTATTCACAATTTATAGACATATCCAGTAGAAACCACATAAATGCATTTATTTAGTTGCGCCACATTTATCCACATGCTTCTAGCTTGGAACTTAATATTTCCAAACATTTATCATAAGTATTTATATGCAGCAGCAGTAACATATAGGAACGAGTAAATATATGTTTATAAGCTTTTTTATCATTAAATGGGTCAAATGATGAAAACTGATTAATAGGTATGTCGGTACCTATTAAAAGACAAAACTCATGAGATAAATACTCGTATTGGAAAGTCAGATGTGAGACAATGCTCCGATGCTTCCCTTTGAAAAAAAAGGGGAAACATTATTCTGGACTACCCACAAGCAGACGTTTAGCAGAAACCTTTCTACCTTTGAATTATAAGGTAAAATGCAAACTCTAGTTTAATGATCCACGTGGAGCTACCCACAGGAGATATCTGGCTGATAAGCAAATGTATTGATAAAAGACACTGCAAACTTGGGGAGATGTATGAAAACATCTAACCTGCTCACTGAAAGGCAGATACTTGCCATCAAAAGTAACAACCACTCGGTCTTTTCCATCAACACCCTTGACTTTGTCAACTGAACAGTAGAAGTCTATAGCTGACATACTGAAATGTAAAAGAAATTTGTTATGCAGAAAGAAAACATTACTACAAACACTTGAGGAGAAAGGAACACAAGGAAAAAAAAAAACAAAAATCTTTGGAGAATATGAAATGAAAAGAAAGGTATCAGAATCTTCATTAATCCAATCCAAACCTACTATCAAGTATCAACGTCTACACAACTCAATTATAACCTGGAAATTTCAAGTCATTATGGTGTGGCATTGCATTAGTTTAATTCTGATAAAAGAACTTCTTGTTTAGTTGCCTCATGAGGAGAAACTGCTAATTCCTCCTAAGTAAATCAGATACAGCCGAGTGGAAATCATAAATAGAGAGGAAATATACGAAACCATTTCCTCCTGAAAAATCATAAACCTGAAGTTGAAGTTCTCTGATAAATTCTAATACGACTTGTTGAGTTAAAATTTTGGAATATGGAGTATGCACTCTATTCATTTGAAGTAATGGTTAGAGTTAGCCCATCTAACTTACAAAATAATATGTGGAGAAGACACAGCTCAGTAGAGGATAGGATATTCATCATGCAGTTTTAAATTTTAAGTAGAAGTTTTTGGTAATTATGTGCACTATATAGATTAATTAAAGCCTTAAAGATCAACAGGATTCATGGTTTAGGGTTTTTCCTGTTCCAATATCACACTCCAATCTTGTCACAGAGTCTTTACAGGGGAGAAATAAAAGGGATCAATGAAAAAGTTTCAAAACCTGTAAAAAAGCTATATATGAAATCATGAGTCCTATGGATGATTGTACCAGCATGAAATACAAACCTACATAACTCAGAAGATTTAGCCATAACACAAAAAGGAATTGATCGCATGATAGGAAAGAAAGAATTCACATCTACTTACATGCCATCACCGAATTCCTCATTGATGATCTCTTTGATACTTTCTCCAAAATGCATAACAGCTTCATTTAATCTAGGAAATCAGAAAATAAAGACAACTTAAACATGGGAAACCAGATCAACTTTGGGAGATAGAAGAAAACTCGAAAGGATAAAAAAATAAATTGTAAAATTACAAAGATATCACAATTATTTTAGATTAAAAAAACCCTTCTTCAAAAGAATACAAAATAGCCTTTTAATTTAAACCCAAGATAAACCACTTGAAGCTAATCAAATATTTTTATGTGCAAAGTTGCAATTTGAAAGTCATCATTCTGTTCGATGAGCCACAGGTTATACCCACTTCAATAAACATGAAAGTTAACCATCACTTGTTCGATTGGCTAGTATGATAAGGAAACAACAAATACTTGCTAAAAAATTGCAGGAAGAAGAATTGTCAGACGGTTTGGTAGCTTAAAAATCGAAGCTTTAAATCTTACATGGGACATGGAAAAAAGAGAAAATCCATACATCATGGTGAATAGTGATAAAAGGAATAAAAAGGATAAGAAAACTGATTAACGAACGAATTAATCACGAGAGAGAATATTTGTTTCATATCCAAAACCCACTTTTGCATCGAAAACTTGATCACGCGTTAATTCAATCCATAAACACTGTGGTCGACCATAAATAAATCACCGAAGGCAAATACCGGTGTGAGAAGTATCAAGAAAAGGCAATAACTAGGAAGCAGAGGAAGGGAAACCGACCGGTAGACGGCGGGCTCGTGAACGAGGTCGGGGCGGAAGGAGCGAAAGGGCGGGGCCATCATCTCGGCGACGAGGTCGTCGGTGAGGGCGGGGATGGCGGCGCGGAGGGCGTCGGCGGTGCCGGACTTGAGCTGGGCCTGGCGGCGGAGCAGCTGGGCGACGTAGACGTTGGTGAGCCCCGTCTCGGCCGCTATCTGCGAGTAGTTCTTTCCCGATTGCCTCTTCGCCGCCATCAGCCGCCCTACCACCGCCCCCTCCGCCGTGGTCCCGTTGCCGCTGCCGTTCTCCATCTCGAGGGTTCGCCGTGAAATTATCTTGGGCTTCGGTCGGTAGGGCTTGCTTCTCTTTGTTCGCCGCATACAGCCCAGTCCGATACTTATCTTTTGACTGAAGTGAACAAAAATGGCACGTGAACAGCACGTGATCTATTGTATTTGTGGGTGTCGGTATCTTTTTCATTTCATTACCACCAAATTATACGTGGGAATTCTGTGCACGGAATTCATTACCACCACATGTTCTTTGGCGGTGGAAGTCGAACAGTTCACAACAAAATACTCCTCTAGTTCATATATATATATATATATATATATATATATATATATATATATATACTTTTAATATATTTGAAAGAAAAATATATATTCAGCATAGGACTAATTACTTAGTCCTATTAGTATCATGATTTTTATATTTTAAAAATTTATATTAAAATTTTATAATTTTAAAAATAAAATTAATAATTTTATTGATCCTAATACCATCAGATATATTAATGAAAAATACAAATACCATGTGTTAGATTAACATAAATATGATAAAAAAAATTAATAATTTTTTTTATTTTAAATAAATTTATCGATAAAAATATAATTTTAATATCTCAAATAAAAAAGATATTAAAATTATTTTTTTATCTAATACTTTCATACTGCTGGTGTCACGTGCTATGTTTTCTATCAATGCAGCTAATAACATTAAGACAAATAGTATTATTTGTTTGAACTATAGGGATCTTAATATAAATTAGGATCCTAATATAAATTTTTTGAAGTATAAAATTATAATACTAATAAAGTCCAAATATAGAAGGTAATATGTAATTAGCTCTTCAACATTTTTTTTTTGTGAATCGTAACCCCACAAAACAATTAAGAATCGATAATATAAGATATTAATGGAAAAATATGGTAGAAGCGATATATATAGAGGGATTAACTTGTATATGCTTTGATTTCCATGATATAATTGTGGTAATGCAGACGGCTATACATTGAACTGATACTAGCATCGAGTATAATGGCACCTTCGAAGCTGCTTGGATGCAACACTCGAAAAGTTATTCTTCAGTACAAAAAGAAAAAACATCATCATTTCAGATGGCCTTAATAAAGTTATGAAGAAGAGGAAGGAAGATGATGTGCTATGTATGCTGTTGTTGCTTGCAATCTACTCGAAAGTATCTAATTGGCAGTGGGAGAAAAGAATGCAGCAAAGAGATGCAACAGTCGGTACGATTTGCAGTAGCAAGATAGAAAAGACTTGGGAGGATACCAAACGAATGGAAACGAGGAGGTTTGCAAAGTGTCTCATCTGCAAGTCAGTCGACATCTTATCACTGCTAGAACTTAGATCGTGTACTAAGTTCGCCTTCCTATCCATGAGACTATTGTAGCTAATTTATCAGTGTAATTATTTGGTACATGAAATTAACTCTATGTTGAAGCATAAGTAATGTGGATTAAGATTTTCCTATTCTTTGTTGGCAGAGGAAATAATAATAATTATTTTTTTCTAAGGATGGAAATGGATCATTTACTTATCTGCTATTATGAGTTGATAGCACATGAAACAGCTATGCTGCAACATATGACATAGCAAGATCAATATTATGAACAGGCTACATATCTGTTCATGTAAGGAACTCTATGACAATAATCAAATAGTTTGTGGCAGCTAATCCTTCATTTAAAAAAGTACTTATCAATTTTATCATTAATTTCTTGCCATTCATATTTTTCCAATAGTCATTCCTATTTTAAATAAGGATAATAAACTTTTGATCAATATGTCTTGATTCTTCTGTCCCTATCTCCTAATGAATTTTTCAAAATATTTCGTAAATATTTTAATCATTAAAAATTCATCATTCTCAATAGATTTTAATCAATGATCTTCATTCTTTAATATAGATGCTCGGAAGATTGCTCTCGGGTTTTCTGTCTCATTCAACAATCATTCATTGATTTATTATAGTCATTATCACGTGATAACAGTTGAATTTTGGACGTTAAGTCCTACAAGTTTTAATACTAAAAATTTTTACTATAATTAATAGTACTTATAAATGCTTAATAAAAAGCTTAATACAATTGAAAATAATTGTTGATTAAGGATTACTTCTAAAATCAAAATATTTCTTTATAATAAGGTACAATAATCTTCCAAGTGACTCTCTACCTTTCTACATTGCTAAATTGGTCATTGTTTTTTTTATGCAATCTTTACTTTTATTCTTCTACTCATTTATTCTTTACATGCTCCTCCTATGCACTTTCTTTTTGTCCTTTTGCAGCTAATACTCTCTTATAATTCTAAAAGTTTTTATGATGATCTGAACAAATCATCCAAAGAAAGGCTTCGTAGCATCATAGCTACTGGGTTTTGATTTATTTGGAACACTGAAAATAATTTCAAACTTAATACTCAAGCAAATCATCTCTTCCGGTTCAAAGAGTTGTTTCCTTTGCTAATGACATCACCACCATTGGTGTGATAGAGAGAACTATTACAAAGGAGCAGCAGAATCAATCTAACCCAACCAGTGATTGATTCATGATATGAGCTTGGATATATGCTTTAGGACCCTAAAAGACATCTACAATATTATAACAATTAAGATCAATAGATTGTTTAGGCAAAGATGGAATACTAATTGTCGTGCTCAATCAAATACACATCATCTTGTTCGATAAACGAGTCCCAAAAAAACACAACAAAGAAAGAGAAAGATATGACAGGAATCAGAGCAGTGAAACTGGGAATTTGAAATCCTACTGGAAAGTATTCATGCAGCACACCATTTTGTAGAGCCCTCTCCAGGATCACTTGGAAAGGAGTGAAAGTGCCAGTTCAGTGTCTTATCCTACGACAGCCAAACAAAGATACGAGTGCTCCCACACCTTCGATAAGATTCATGTGCTATGTCATTCAGTATATCTCTCCGTACTTGCTGATGGTATTTTGAATGCCTGTGTGCTCATCTCCGTGGTTCTTGCAGGTCCGGTACACAGCCACAGTACCCAAGATTGGAATCTCCTCCGTGCTCCTGCTGGGGAACCTCCCAGGCGAAGATGCAACTGATGCTTGCTTAACGTCGCCCAAAACAGGCCGTCGTTCCTCTTGGCTAAACCATGAGTAGTTCGGCCGATCACGTGAATTGCTCAACTCAGGCCCTTCCACAGTCGAATTCTCCGACCAGGACAACCAGCTCGAGAGGCTGGCTTCCACTGAGACCTCCTGTTTAGTAGGCTTCTTGACTTTGACCATGGGCTCCATTTGGTTCTCCTTCTCTGCGCCAACGTTTTCTTTCGTGGAATTCTTCTTCGCTGGTGCCGCACGTACCTTGACTTCCTTCCACTGCGACACGTTTTCTACAGGGTTCAGTACTGAGTGCACATACTGTCTCCTATCGCGTGTGTTGCCTCTTGCCAAAAGGATCGGCCGCCTATCAGGGGAGGAGGAGGGGCTATTAGCTTCTTGAACACCTTGCGGCTCATCATCGTTTGCCAAAGAAAAGAGGAAATCATATGACCCTTCCTCATCTCCATCCTCGTTATCCTCTTCCTCATCGATATCACTATCCTCGTAGTCCTCTTCATCTTCTTCGCTGACGCCTTCGTCATCATCGCTGCTTCCACAGTTCTGATACCTATGGTTAGAGGGGAAAGATCCAAACTTGGTAAAAGATGTATCTTGCCCTTTATGTGGCTTCCTCTCCTCGTCTATAACTTCGGTCGCTTCGTCATCTTCCGATGGACACTTAGGACCTTCATCGCCTAATACATACTCATGCGTTTGGACGTTCAAATCGAACGTAACCTTCTTCCTGGTTCGCCTGAAGCTCCCCTGCGCAAGATTCTCCCTGCAAACAAAATCAAAGCTTAAAAGAAATCCAAAATGTCCAAGAAGGGATCGAGTCGACATATCGACAAACATATGAAAAGCGACTAAGGGAAAGAACTCAATATCACAGCTAGCAACACAACTATTTGAACTAACTGGATTAAATCGTGGCACTTCAGCTGCAGAAGAGTGTCAGTTACTGTATCCACCGGAAGATTCGGCGGCGAAACCTTCGGCATGAGTGGCATCGGCGTGATCTGCTTCCGGGAAACATTCGAACGCAAAAGTCTGTACCTTTCGTGCACCTAACAAGTGAATGCACAAAATCCAGTTAACAGCATATATCAACCGTACGCTCAAAACCCAATCCAATTAATCGGAGAACCGAACCGAATCGGGCGTACCCTCTCAAGCGGAAGCGACTTCTTAGGCGATCGACGCCGCTTTCGATCCTTGACATCTCCGAAGCAGGCAAGAAAGCACCCCATGCTTGAGAGGAGAACAAGAGTGCTGTGTCTTTTCTCGATTTCCCAGTTATGAGAAGCTTGCTGTGGGGAGAGCCAATCTAATGTCCCGAGAACTTCCTCATCACGAACACAGAACAAGAGATGGCTTTAGGTGGTGGGGATGATGTGTATCGGGAGATGTGCTCCTTTTGAGGGTGTCGAGGAAGTAGACCGTTGGAGGAGGAATGCGTTCGAACCTTGTGAGGCCAAGCGTCGCGTGCACGTGGGTCCCGTGCATGTCTTCATCATCGCCGACGTTGACTAGGTCAACTCATCTTGAATTTTTCTGAAATTGAAATTATTATCATTTCCATCCATTATCCTACAAGTGGATCAAATGAGCGTTGATTTCCGTTATGGAAATCATTAAAAGAACTCGATACGTGGAGACGAGTGATATTTTCGTTGACTTGCATGAAGAAATAATAATCATCAACAGCATTGCATTGATAACACGACAAGGCTGATGTAATTATTTAATATTCATGAAATCTATGCCCTTTTTCATGTGTGACTAATCCTTTTAGAAAGTTTCACTAATTATTGTGCCCACCTGATGGGAATCCTCACTCTGTTCCAGCACCTCCGCTCTGTAAACAAAGAACCGGCTCACAACACAGAAGACGATGAAGTTGAGGCAGTCGAGGATGGCAAAGAATGCATAGTAGTAGTCCAGGTGGGAGGCATTCAGGTTGTTGAGAATCCACCCGGTGTGGCCATGCTCCTTCGTTACGCGCGCGACCGTCGAGAGAAGGAAGCTACTGAGGAAGTTGCCGATTCCCAAGCTGACCATCGCGAACGATGTGCCCAAGCTCTTCATCCCCTCCGGCGCCTGGTCGTAGAAGAACTCTAACTTGGCCACCTCCAGGAAGGCGTCTGCGATCCCCATCAGCACAAACTGCGGCAGCAATATGAAGATGGTCAATGGAACCACCCCTCCGCTCTGCACCACACCGCGCTCCCTCGCCACAGCGAGCCTGTGCCGTTCCGTCAGCGAACATATCGTCATGATGACGATTTGGATCGACATTCCCACCCCCATCCTCTGCAGGAGAGAGATCCCCCTGGGGTTGTTGGTCCAACGCCTCGTGAATGGCACCAGGTACCGGTCGTAGACGACGACGCTGATGAGCATGGAGATGGTAACGAAGGCCGCGAGGCTCGCCGGCGGGATCTGAAAGTGCGGCCCCATGTGTCGATCGAGAGTCCTCCCCTGCTTCACGAAGAGGGTGTTGATTTGAGCATACATCGTGCTGGGGATGAAGGTCGTGATCAGGACCGGAATCATTCGCAGCATTTGCTTCGTCTCCTCCACTTGAGTCACCGTGCATAGCATCCACGGACTCGTCGGGCCAGTCTTCACTGCTGCTTTGTTGAGGATCCTGCGTGCATGTGTAACGAATACTACTGAAGGTTGACCATATGCATGCAAACGATCAAAATCTTCAAGCAAACCTTAAAGTTGGCGTGGAATCGATGCGATATATCCCGTCTGCAGCATATGCGTTCAGATCCAGTTCATGGAGCTCCTTGGGATCGCTGGGCACGCGAACGGTTAACTTCCTCGCGGCAGCAACAATAACCCTGGCCATCTTAGTGAAGGGGCTGCCCGAGGGCAGCTTGTGGCGGTAGAACGGCGTGCCGACCGCGAAGACGGCGATGGAGATGGCGAGCCCGAGGGTCGGCAGGGCGTAGCCAAGGGCCCATCCGACGTTGTCTTGGATGTACACCAGCACGGTGTTGGCGAAGAGCGTGCCAAAGAAGATGCTGAACATCCACCAGTTGAAGAAGGAGAACTTGTGGGCGCGTTCCTTTGGGTCGAACTCGTCGAACTGGTCGGCGCCGATGGTGGAGATGTTGGGCTTCGTTCCGCCGGTCCCCACGGCCAAGATGTACAGCGCGCAGAAGAACACGCCCAGCTGCAGCGTCGAGGCTTTCTCGTCGCAGTTGGGGTCGCCGGTGTTGGCTCCGCAGGGGGGCGGTTTAAGCGAGTGCAGTGAGACTGACAAGGTTAGCAGACACATTCCCTGTGCGAGTGGAGAGAAGGTATGTCAGCTACTTACACATTCATTGTGATTGTGCAGGAGATTGATAACAGCTGCAATCTTTTCCCACAAAACATCTTGGAAGCTTTTTTTTTCTTCTTTTTTTGTAAATTTAGATGAATCAATGGATCTATGCTTTGACTTTGTTCTAAATATAAGCTATATAAAGTCCCCAAAAAAAATGGCAGAACCTAAATTTCACATCAAAATTAGTCATGATTAAGATTTTTAATTACAATTTATGAGCTTTATAGGATTTAAGACCAGATAGCTTTAAAGCGAATTTGGCCACGCCCAACTCCCAACACATCGTAGCCTCCTTATCCTCCAATCTTTCCCATATATAATTTCATGATGTGACGTTTTGGTATTACAAGAATCCAAGTCAAAGTTTATAGGCCTCATTTTCTTGATCAATGATTATTGCAATGGGCAACAATATCAAAATCGTAAGCATGACACATCTTCTTCCAGAGAATTAAGACTATGTCAAAGCGTAATGAAAAATATGCAGGTTGACCAACCTCATGACCTGTATTATACTCTGCACCAATCAGATCCTGGGAGAAGATTGGAATCTTCTTCACCAAGACGTAAGGCCTACAGGGTGATGGTTGAGTGTATCACTTGAGAACAATACTTCGGAGTCAATATTAGTTCATCATCAATGGCCATTGACTAATCGACCACCTCAAGAGCCAAAACCGCCGTGCTTTAAAGAATAGTGTTCATGTCGTCAGCTTTTCAAACTCCCAGCAAATTAATACAGGTCAAGATGTTTGGAGGGGTAGACAAACTGCTCTCATCAAACTGGGTTATATTGCTTTGACAGTAGTCATCTAAAGTCTCTTTGGCTGTGTTATAAGATGTCCTTAGAACATCGAACGTCACTAAAAAACATCACACAATCATAGCAAAGAACTCAAGATAAGAACATATTAGGGTTACAGAAACTCAGGATGTAGTCTAATGTATTCATTTACTAGACTAACTGTTCGATAAGGTTTTGACATCTTCAAATCATCTCACTTCAAATGTCAAAACACATGCCGTGAAGTGCAGACTGCAATCCTAATAGTGAACGACAATATGGATTTCAGCCGAGGAAACAAAGTTTTCAAGGCCAAATGACATGGTAGATGAGCCTCCCCGTATCATCGCGGAATCATATGGTACAAATGATTTGGACAAAGTATATTTTGCCGGCAAAGATGCAAGATTGGAATGTCGAATAGCCATCGACTTGGGATCTAGAAATGGACAGTGGGCGGGGAAAACAAGAGAATCAGTGAGGACAATGAGCATAGTTATCTCAGAAGATTCAACTGTCTGCATATTGGGTTACAGTAGTGGTCCCTGGGAAGTCAGTATCTTTCAGGAGGACGAAGAAACGTGATCTTTTGAGTCATTTATAACCTCGCATCCTTAATCTTAAGTTAGAGTTCATCTTCATCCAAAACGAGAATCTAGCAACTACACCTGAAGCCAAGAATACAAGAGTTTGACTGAGGTAGCAGATGTCATATATACTGCAGACATGACATAGACCCTTATATTGTCAGGTACACGAATCATAAATTAGGGCCTTGTAGTGGTCAGGATTCAATGAAGATATTTATCTAGTTATCATTTTCTGCTACATGATTAATCTTCTAACTTCGTATCTACAAAGAAAATGATCCGTTGACTTGGAAGTCAGGCCTTGCAGTATTATGCATGTAACTGCTACTGCCGTTTTTGCTGTTGTGATGGGTAGATATTTCTTTGCGAGTTTTACCTAATTATATGTCAATGGCCTTCAAAGCGAGCAAAGAGATAAGATGGTCTTGGAAGCTTTACCGAAAGGTAGATGATAGATGCTATGATGAAGGTCCAGTAGCGGCCGAGGTGCGCGTCGGCGATGTAGGCGCCGACGATGGGCGTCAACCACACCGCGCCGACCCAGTTGGTGACGTTATTAGCAGAGGCGACGGTACCTTGATGGAGCTTGTCGGTCAGATACAGCACCAAGTTTGAGGAGATGCCATAGTACGCCATCCTCTCGAACGCTTCATACACTGCAAGTTGGTCAAAGAACGTGATAAAAATTGAAATCAGGCAGTTGGTGGTGATCGAAAAACCATGGTAGGAAGTGATCTACAGATAACATAGGAAGCTCGATGTGAGTTTGCCCGGTAATTACTGGTGTGTGATACCAAATTCGAGGATAGCAACCGAAGCCCTTTCGTTCATAGTGAACGATTTACTGATTAATTGTGCTTTCTAAAGGAAAGTTTCGAAGACTATGATCGCAGGGGTGTCCATGTGCATCAGTTAGTCATCATGTATCTTTGACACCTTCAGATGAGATTTACTGCCGGAGTTTAGTAGTTTGAAGGGTTCTCAAGGCATCAAAGCCCTGAGCTCCATGGTTGTAGCATCCAAACATGAGCCACAACACTCACAAGAAGAGACAAAACCTTAAGAGATGGAGTGTGAGACAGGGGAGGGCATTACCGACGACAAAAGAGCAGGCAGTCCATCCTCCTCGCTTGGATCGGAGAACGGGGTTGCCCTTGAGATCGACGGTGCCGTCCTTGGTGTACTCCCCTCGCCCAGACTCGGAGTTCTCCGCCATGGCTCGCCAAGCGATGAGGAGCAGCTCGGAGTTTTATAGACTCACGAGGAAGACAAGCCGACCGATTGCCGGTAACCAAGGGAAAAGTAATGGCGGAGACTATGGAGTCTCCCGCGGGCATGCATCGTGACGCTCACACGTGAGATGTTCTGTGGGAATCTTAAAATAAACATTCTCCATTTAGCGAAGACCAGATTGGAGTGTCATTGAGTTCGTTGCATTATGGTCGAGAGGGCTCGTCGTGCTTAGTTACCTTTAATATCTCGAAATATATACTTTAATATTTTTATATTAATATTATTATAATTATGAAAATAAAATATTTTGATCCATTTATCTTAACATTGTCAGTTTTATCAATAAAAAAAAATTTTAAAATTTGATGTTTCAGTTTATGGTAATGAACGATGTCGATGGTGATGGATAACAATATCGTTCGGGGTCGCGAGTAACTATCATGGACAATGAGAGCATCGATGAGAGGTGAGAACCACTCGATAACTATATCAAAGTAACTCTCACCTTTAGTCACTATTCTTCTCATCCACAAAAGTTACCCATGGTCATTAATAGCGTCGTCGTCCATTATCATAAACTAAAATATTAAAATTATTTTTTATCATTTATTTTCATATTTTGATAGGTAAAATTACCTACGTTATGGTAAATAAATCTAAATGTTAATATAATATTTTAAAATTTAAAGAATTAAATAATAAATATAGTTAGCTATAAGGGATAATATGTAATTAGCTCTGATTAAAATGATCTCAATTACAAGAAAGATTACGTGTGTTACACACGTGACAACCATTGAAAAAAAAAAAAGACTTTGCGAAAACTGTTGAGACAATCCTAATTGGAAAAGTAATAGTGCTGACATTCTTATGATCATTGATAGGGATAATATTCTTGCTTATATCAACCTTATTTGTTTTGATCTATGTGTACAAAAGATTTGATGTGATGAAATGAAAAAATAAAATACATATATGAGAGCTAATGTAGATTCAGACAATTATCCTATGACTAACTTGCATAAAAATCAAAATAAGTGGGATTCTCGACGTGATCTCTCCAACACTTAAATTAATAGTCAATAATTATAAAATAAATTTAGAAAATCATAATTGATTTTTATTACGGTGTCTTGAGTGGTCTTTTAAAGCGGGTTAATCATATAAAATATTCTATAGTATCAATAGAATATCCTTCCCCTTATAATTTTCATTGCTACTTTATTTTTTAAGTTCATTGTGTTTCATTGATACACATTTACTAGTCATAGGAAATTGGACACACGACCATGCAATAAAAGAAGAGATCACTCTTTGTTCTACTCGTCCTGTCATGATCAAATCATTCTTACTCACAGTAAAATAAAGTCCCATCTCTCTCTTTTTTTTTTTTGGCATATTTCTTCATTGTAGAAAAGAACACTTACATCTCTCTTCGATTATATCGTTAAGTGTTTCCAAACATACACCCATGAGATCAAATTTGATCCGTTCATAACAGGTGCCCACAAAAGCACCATCCTATATATCATCTTAGATGAGATTTTTCCATGTTGGCTTTTGGGGCAATTTTTGTTTTGATCCTGAAACTTGTTCACATTAACCATCATATTCCCGTCGACTTCCACATCTGTATCACGAAATGTGACGGATTCCTTCTCTACCTTTACGTTTCGTGTAACCCCGAAGGAGGTGGAAAGACCTCTCCATGCTTCGTGCCAGCTGAAGATTCAGTCGGCACTGCAAGTTGCATGTATGGAGACGGCTGTGTTCCTCATCACCAGTCCATTTTGTAGGCGATTCCAAAAGCGATGATGTTGTGGATGATGCACTTCCGCGAGTCTCTTCGCGAGCTCCCACAAGTCAGAAAGTTGCGATGCCGTTCACTTGGAAGACTATATAGTCCATATACCCATGTGGTTAGCGAATGAGAAGAAACCAAAGCTGATCTCCATCACTTCTTATTCCGTCTTTTACTTGTTCATACAGTGAACGGGATGCTGAACGAGGAGATGGAGAAGAAGAATTCCACTCTTATCAGATCGGTCAACTGGTCGCCCCGAGATGAAAGCGAGATGGCGTGGCATCGCCGCAGATCCAATCTGAGCAGGAATTCATTTCCATGTCGGACGTCATCTCTCTCTTAAATATTAGTAGAAGAATCGGGAGCCGCTTTATTGATGAGCTGAAAGCTTTGTGTACCAGACGAAGATCCGAAGAAAGAAACGAATGCAAATTGTCTTCATGGAAAAGAGAGCATATAAAACATGTAGAGCAGACAAAACTCATAAATGCAATTTGACTGCCTCGGTGAATGGCGCATTGCTGTCTTTTCACCAGCAGGCATACGATAGCGTACGACCTCGAAATTTGTAGTTTGGTCGGTCTTTTCCTCTTCGATCGGATCCCTTTCTTTGTCATTAGTTCTTATTAGATGCCTCCACTTCGAGGTTTGAATTTTCTACTCATCATTATGTGCTACAAAATCTTGCCTCGACTCGGATCCACTTTCATCATAATGAAATATGTTCTTCCGAAATCAAAAGAAAAAGAATGCGGATTATATACTCGCTATGTCAGTGATGGTCCCTTAAATATCTGATGTAGAAAAACAATAATAATAGTTCATGTTGACTACGAGTAAACTACAACATCAAAAAACCTGTTCTCAAGGAGAAGGATCGCTTCCCAGTCCCTTTCATGTTATCTATTAGCTGCAAGTATTTGAAGTTTCTCTATCAATACTTTTGTATATTGTATTTTGCACCTTTCTTTTTTTTTGTTTTCTCTCTCTTTACTTTGAATTACTTGTCCACCAACAAAATGCTTGATGATAATAAATGGGTGGCGATTTCATCAGATACAGATCGTCCACTCACATGATGATGTACACAAATCTTTCTTAGGTAGGTTATCTAAAGGACAAAGTAGCCTTCTTCACATGTATTTGGAAGAGTCAATAGACTAAATAGTCGATTAGGTGTAACTTATTCTAAGATACAAAACTATTTTATCGAAGCTTTGACAGATGCATACACAAGCAAGAAATATCAAACAAAAAAATCAAGAAAAATCACTAGTCACATCAGTTCTTAGCACAAATGCTTCGTTAAGTTAGTCTTTGCCGGAGACACAAAGGCCATGGCAAATACTTGATTCCAGTCGAGCTAATTTGTTTTTTTGTATTAGATTTCTCCGTGATCATTTTCTTTCTAGAAAAGAAGCTCTTTGAGGTCGATTTGAGGCGCATCTTCACGTCACGAACACCGAAAAAATGTGGTCAATGAAGCAGCGGAAGCTTCGGAGGAATCGTTTGCGCTGCTTAAAAGGTCAAGCCGCCAGCTCAAGTTGCAGGCAGCAATGCTGACTCGAGTTATATCACGAGCTTAGAAATCAGAGAGAGAGAGATCTGCAATATGTTGGATAAGCTACTGTCAATCGTCTCTATCGGAAAAATGTCAGACAGATTCTGGCGTAAGTGGGTGTCCTCGTCTTTCATTGGATCACGAAGTCGCAGAATTTCCAAGTGACTTTTCTCTTTCGAGAAGGATAGGCTACTTCAGCTAATACACACGTCTTTGATCTACGGTGTACCCGAAGAGTCAAACGACAAGCATGGATTTGAGCCAAAGGAGGGGTTATTGGGGACGAGCAAAGATGGAGACAGAAGAAGAAGGATTCCTGCTGATGAAGTGTTTGTGTGCTTACCGATACATGACTCATTCATTTAGTAAAATAGGACATATAGATCGGATGAAGTGTCACATCAGCACCAGTGGTCTAGTGGTAGAATAGTACCCTGCCACGGTACAGACCCGGGTTCGATTCCCGGCTGGTGCATTTGGTTTTTATATTTGTTAACGCTTATTTGCTCATCTCTTTACCGCTTCCCCTCCGGCTAGTGGAGATGCTTTCTTCGCTCGTTACTTGCACATCTCTTTACCGTTTTTTTGTGTTAATATTTTTCTAAAAAAAAAATAACTATATTAACCTATAAAATAATTGTAAATGGTATGAAGCTCTTTATAATTTAAAACCTGTGGATCATAATTAATCAAAATATTATGATGAAAATCATTATGCTTCACTCCTCCATTTGTTTTTCTCTTCCTTTTCTTACTCTCTTTCTTGATGAATATATAATTTTTTTATTTATCAGAAAATCACCTGATGCCACTTTACCCTTACGTATCAAATCCTCTCGTTTTTCCTCTTTTAACTCTTTTCTCATCTCCACGATTTTAGTTAAACTTTATAAGATTATTTAAAGTTAGATTCTTGATTTCTAACTACGATCGACGATAGTTGAAAGCCTAATCTTTAAAGAATATTCTTTGATAAAATAATTCCCTTAATTTTCTCGTATAGGCTCTTTCTAAAATTTGAGAATTTTTTTTATTATCATATAATAGAATTTGATTGTCGATTTCTTTTATTTTTATTTTTCTTTTGAAATAAAAAATATTTGATGTGCTTCTTTATTAGAAGATAATCCTGTTAGAAATAATAAAAGATAAAAAGCTTTATTAAAGAAGTTTGAATGCATTAACATATCCCTCTCCTATTTATACATATTAGGAGGGAGTTTTTCCATCAATAAAATAGAGAGATTTTCTCGTATAATTGGAGAAATCTTATCTATCAAATCTCAAACCCTAGAGTCAATCAATCATGATAGGACAATTCTAAGATCCGAAAGTCAATAAAAAAGAAGAGCTTCACGTAACTTAAAGATCAACATCATCGTATACTGACCAAGCAAAGATCTAACTAGCAACATGTTATTGCTTTCAGCTCTCCCCACTTTTCAAGATAATTTCTCTCTTCCTCCCTCAAAATCTATTTATATTTTTAGCCCTCTTGTAGCTTTGATGTCAAAACACTCAAAGAAGCACTACGACCCTTCCTCTTCGTATGACCATGAGTTTACTTTTTCAACCAGCTCTTCCAATGGGATTCCACCACTTCTTGCCTCATCTCCTTCCCTTTCCAATGCAACCTCCTTCGATTCACTTATGGATCGCATGACAGAAGTATTCAGAAAGGTAATAACCGATAATAATCACAAGATAGAGGAGGCCATTTTGAACAATCAAAATCCAAATTAACGGACATTATATTGTTTGAGATCAAAACCTAAAAGACACATAATAAGAAGGTCTTTATTTTGCCACCCCTTACTTTCAAACATAAAATTGAAAAAAAAAAAATCTATCACAATGTGTACTACCTCTTATTCATGATTCATATAACTGTATATTGATAAACTGATGTACTATGACTAATGAGTCAGCACGATCTAGTCCACGGGTCGATGTTGGGAGTCAACGGTTGATCGAACAGGTCACCAAGATTGATCACCCGCAGGTCGGGATGTCGAGTCCATATGAGGGAAGGTGTTTCTCGGTCGAGATGATCGCAACTTGGGGTGTGGCTACACTCCTATACAGAAGGCCCTCGTCGGGTGATTATTGACTTTGGCCCCTCAACGAGTAAGTTAGTGCTTAGTTCTCTCCTTTTTTTGCCTCCCCCTGGCCAGATGTCGGTTAGGGGCTCTTATATTACTATGCGGGGGTCAATCGTATGCGGGTTTGACGCGATGACTGATCCCTAAGGGTCAAGGTGGTACCTTCGTGCGGTCACTATCCCGGAATGCATGGAACGACGCTATACGGTACCATCTCGAGCTTCCCGGGAAGGGATGTATCGAGGGGTGCCTTGTACTGATCTTGGTTTGACACGTGAGAGTATTCCTCTTGCTGACTTGGCGATGATGTGGCACGATGTTGATTGTGACGTGGATGGGGTCCAAAATTTATCTTATCACTCTCAATATTCTATCTAAGAATTATACTAAAGTAATAAAAAAGAAATGTGAGGCTCTTCACAACCTCATCAAGACATGCAATTTGAATATTATAATTCTTCTAGAGAGTCATCTAATTGACCACCAATCCCATAACTTTCTAAGAAAGTTAGATATTATTTGGGTTGATGTCTATTACTTTATCAAAGGACAATCAACAGTTCATCGGAAGAAACAAGTAATAAATCTGCTAATCTAAGACTTTGGTACGACTTCTTGGTTGCTCTCAGCGATCTATGACTTTTTGGTTGCTTAGAAATCAGAGAGAGAGAGAGAGAGAGAACCGCAATACGTTGGATAAGCTACTGTCAATTCTCTATCGGAGAAATGTCAGACAGATTCTGGTTTAAGTGGGTGTCCTCGTCTTTCATTGGATCACGAAGTCTTAGAATTTCCGAGTGACTTTTCTCTTTCGAGGGAGGAAGAGTCAAACGACAAGCATGGATTTGAGCCAAAGGGGGGGTGTTGAGGACGAGCAAAGATGGAGATAGAAGAAGAAGGATTCCTACTGATGAAGTGTTTTGGGTGTATGAATACATGACCCATTCATTTGATAAAATAGTACATGTAGCACCGATGTCACATCAGCACCAGTGGTCTAGTGGTAGAATAGTACCCTGCCACGGTACAGACCCGGGTTCGATTCCCGGCTGGTGCATTTGGTCTTTATATTTGTTGATGTTTATTTACTCATCTCTTTACACCTTTTATTGTTTATTTGTGTTAATATTTTTTTATAAAAAAAGAAAAATAACTATATTAACTTATAAAATGATTGTAAATGGTATGAAGCTCTTTATAATTAAAAACATGTGGATCATAATTAATCAAAATATTATGATGGAAATCATTATGCTTCACTCTTCCATCTACTTTCTTTTTCTTTATCTCAGCCTCTTTCTTTCTTGACGAGTGTCTAATTTTTTTATTTATCATAAAATCACTTGATGTCACTTTACCCTTATCGAGCAAATCCTCTCGCTTTTCCCCTTCATAACTCATCTCTCGTCCAGAGTAAGTTTCTTTGAAGAAATCTATAGTATAAGACAATGAATATCGGATGTACATCATGAGGATAAACTTTATAAAATTCAATAATAGACATCTCTTTGCTTGAAGTCGGATCCAAGTTAGTTGATTTCTAGTTACAGTAGGTGAAAACCTAATCTTTATAGAATGTTTCTTGATAAAATATTTTCCTTAATTTTCTCGTATATGCTATTTCGAAAATTTGAGAATTTTTTTTATTACCATATAATAGAATTTGGTTGTCGACTTCTTTTATTTTCACTTTACTTTTGAAATAAAAAATATTTGATGTACTTCTTAGTGCTCTTAGTTTATTAGAAGATAATCCCAAACCCTAAAGTCAACCACAATTCTAGGATCCGAAAGTCAACAAAAAAAAAAAGAAGAGCTTCACATAACTTAAGATCAATCTCAAAGTCTACATATGGGATTAGATCTGACTAGCAACATGTTATCGTTTTCAGCTCTCCCCTCGAAAAGTTCTCTCTTCTTCCCTCAAAATCTATTTATATTTTTAACCCTCTTGTAGCTTTGATGTCAAAACACTCAAAGAAGCACTACAACCATGAGTTTGCTTTTGCAACCAGCTCTTCCAATGGGATTCCACCACTTCTTACCTCGTCTCCTTCCCTTTCCAATACAATCTCCTTCGATTCATTTATGGATCGCATGACAGAAGTCTTAACGATCCAAATCTAATTTAACAGATATTACATTGTTACTTTCAAACACATAATAAGGAGGTCTTTTTTTTTGCCACCTTCCAAACTCTCCGTACTCATTAGGCTTAGCTATTTTCCAAAAAAAAAAAGAAATCAACATACCAACATCAAGTTTAAACCTTATTGGTTGGAATCCGATAATTTTAAACCAATCAACTCTCTTCCAACCATCAATAGATTGGGATATACTATTGCTTGATGCTCTTAATCATGCTATCTTTAGATGAGCTAAATCACATAAAAATAATTTGAAAATTCAGACCAAGTCCACTAATGAGACCATTATTAACTTAGAAAAGTTAGTTGGTGTAAATCAACTCTCTAATGCCAACCTTGTAAATTTTTAGTGCCATTATAACAAGGTTGTTGTTCTTAACATACAACTTATCAACTTATGCTTAGATGATGGGTGCGGGTTAAAACCCAATGATCCCTCGATAAAAATAAAAAGTTTTAAATTCTTTCATTTTAATGATCATTTCGATCCTTAAAGATCTTTTGCTTAAGCAGTGAATGCTCTAATGCAATTAAAAAAAAAAAATCATGATTGGCATATAGGTGCATGGATGTGATTTGGATAAATTCTCTAAAACATACTTTGTATTATTCTTGCTAATGCTTTTTAGTTTCTTTGGAATACTAAAAATAATGTCAAATATTTGGAAATTCCAAATACAAGGTTTTTTATTTTTTTTATCGATTGGTAATCCTTCCATGGAGCATTTTGTAATTGTTATTTAATTTTTTAATCTACTTTTTGTTAAAAAAAATCCAAATATCCAATTTAAGATTAGGCCAAACGAACGAATCTTTGAGAGGTAGACGATAGATTCTTCTTTAATCCATATTATTATTAGTAGCAACCAATAACAAAAGCACCAGTGGTCTAGTGGTAGAATAGTACCCTGCCACGGTACAGACCCGGGTTCGATTCCCGGCTGGTGCAATTGTCTTACTTCTTTTTATCTCACTTGTCTTACTTATACATATACTCGTTTTATTGTTTATTTATGTTATCAAATGATACGAAAAATGATACTGAATCAAACAAAAATATCTCATTTGCTTTCAAAATATACTGTAAAATTTTAATGTATGCTTTGTTGAATCTCATATTTTGATGATGAAACTAATTGTTAGTGTTTATCTAATCTGCGTTTAAGTGATGTAGGACTAACTTCGATCGGAAAAGACAAATCGATTAAAGCATAAGGAATCAAACATTGGGTCGGAGCAAATATATCAGAAGATTGGATGTCGGGCCGGATGATCGGTCGACATGTCGGCAGAAAGCTTCGGTCCGTGAATTCAACATTGGGTTAAGAAGATCGAACACTGCGCCAAGAAAATCAGATTGCGAGAAGACAACATGCCGATTGAGCAATACTCCGAAGGATCGGACGAAGCGTCGGAAGAACCAATGACATGCCGGACAACATAGGATTCGCTTGTAATCGATTATATCTAGATCAAGTTAGTTTAGAGTCTAATTGAGTCATTTTAGAATGTAATTAGACCAACTCAATTATGGGCCAACTAGGCCTAAGTTTGGGCTGTGTTTGACCAAGCCCAAATAGTGACTTAACAGGTGAAACCGTCGTGACATAATCTCTGAGATTGTGTTAGGTGATGGTACCACCCAGACACAGTCTCCGAGAGACTGTCAGGTGATGGTACCGCCCAGTGTCAGTACTGCAAGCAGTGATATCGCTAGGACCAGGAAAACCCGGGATGAGACACTTTTAGGCTCCAAGTTTGAATCCACTTGAGGCTTATAAATACCCCTCTCATCCCTGGTTAACATATACAAGAGAATTGAGAGCAAAAAGAAACAAAAAAAGTTATTGTAATCTCGTGAAAACTCCTCTCAAGCTCTAAGTATTTGTCTTGTTTAAGAGAGGAATGAAGGGGGCTGTAAAAGTTTTCTCTTAAACCTGTCAAAAGGAGAATCGAGTTGTAAGGGTAATTGATCTTCATCCATTGAAGAAAGATCGTTAGTAGATGCCGATGGCCTCGACGGAAGAGGAATCAACGGAGTGGAGGTAGGTTACGACGACCGAACCACTATAAAACTCGGTTTGCATTTCCATTCTTACAATTTATCTTTACCGCAAACTGTCTTACCTATTTACTGTTTTCACTACGCTTACAAACGAAATTTAAAGTTATCTTTTTGATATTGGTTTTATTAAACGAAAAAAAATTTCAAACCGACGTAATTTTATCCGCTGCATTAATTCACCCCCCTCTTTTAATACTGACTCCATCATAACTTTAGCATACATTGAAATGCATTATGACAATAATAGAATGCATATCTTGCAATTCATTAGAATGCAAGTTAACCTAGAGGAGTCCGACGGTATAATATAACTAATCAAAGCATAAAAATAACACTAACCTGTTTTGTTTTGTGATACTTGGTACAATGACTAAAATAACACTAACAATGACCGATAGCAGCCGATTATTTTTTATCTGAAAGTTCAGCGTCAGGCATTTTTTCATCGTTACCAACTTGCTTTGAACCTTCGTTTGTATTTGCACTGTCGTCACTGTTCTCTGGGACGTCAACCTTGTCAGTTGAATGCATTAGATCGGAAGCTGTGGTTGATGGTCCTTCCACAGTGGTGGCAACCGGGATGCTCTGTTTGCATTGCTTCTCAAGCATCATTTGCAGGTATCTTCCTTGCTCTTCAATTCTCAGCTGCAGATTCCTCTGAATCTGTGGCAGAAATCATATAGACAATTAGCTCTGTTAGTGAGTATTCACCTAAAACACTCTTCTCACATGTGCAACAGCAAAGACAGACAAACTGAACACGTTAGCTTCGAGATTTACTGTGCCACTAGAGAGTTGGCTATTCATTCCAGAATTCATCTGAGTGGTGGTGGACAAGCATCCCTAGATGCATTCAGCAAGATTTGGGATGTGTATATGGATCTAAATACCCTTTGGTGATCACAAGACTATAAGTGAAAAATTTAGGAAACACAATTTGTACCATTTTGTTGCACAACTGAATCTAAACAGAATGGGGTTTAGGCTATTTTAGTTGTATGGTTAAAGAGAAAATTGCTCCAAGATTCTTTTTTTTTTTACTCCAGGATAGTTCTTTGGTGGACATTACTAGGGTTCGAAAGAATGTAAATGACAGTTTTAGTTATTTACCGATATTTTCTAACCTAACCGTGGTGAGATAGCAATAAGATACGGCAAGATCTCTGTTTTTATTGTATAGAGAGGACCAAGCACATAAAATCAACATGAAGTATACAAGATTATTTATGTAGTAAAATAAGGAAAGATATGCAATCAATCGACAACCACCAAGTATAATTATCTAAGAACCCAAAGACATGGTCTAAGTAGGGGCAATATCATATATAGCCTTCATTAGTAATACAAATTTTTATGTATCCTCCTACAGAGTCGCAAGTACCAGGGATGGCCTTTTGAACGTAAATTGTCATATATGCACATTGTAGTCGTTTGTACCTCCAATGGTCCAGAGTGAAATTGAAGTTGAATTGAGGTTTGACTTGGATTCATCCATAGATTGCCTGACCCTTGACTCGGTTGATTGTAGTTTCTTTTTTCTAATTGAGCATTGTTATATACCACGATAAGGGATTATACTTAATGGACTTTGGAAGGCTATGATCTTGATCCCATAGAACAAAACATTTCTCAGCATGTTTGGCCTGATTTATCAAATAATCTTATCAGGCCTAATAATAGGTAACTAAGCGTCAATGAAAATCCAAAAGGATACTCTTGAAAGTTTAAAAACTTTAGGAGGATATTTATGGTATTCGCAACTTCACAGGGCTTTTGTAAATTATGAAAAGTTGGTAATGATAAGTCCTCGTATGGTGACATAGGCAATAGCTGGATCAAGGAAATGTGAAGGCCAGCAGTGGCAGCAAAAGTCATCATATCCTATAAGAAAGTCCTAGACAGCATAAAGACATATTTGCACAATCTTATCGATACTATGAATTGCATGTAGTTGAATACTGCTAATGCAAACACACTTAGCTTTTGTTTCTGAAAAAACTACAAGAAATGTCTTTATGAGTGAAAATGTGGAAATTTGCAATCTATACGATAAAATTTGAAGAAAATTAGTCACAATACAGCTCGATAACAGACCATGAGTACAAATAAAAATATGTTCACAAACTACCTAATTGTTCTACATGAGATGAATTCTAGAAAATGATAACTCAGCTCAATAACAAACCATGAAATTCTTTCAAGGCATTTCTTAACGAACAATATTTTAAAGACTAAGATTAAGCTTAGAAAAGGCATCATGTGTAAAGCTTGACTATAACTCGACCATACAAATTGTACCTCAAGTTGCTCATGGAGCTGTTTCTGAACTTCCATTTGGAGTTGCAGTGCTTCAGTAAGGTCAAAACTCCTGACATTGGAATGCTACAACATTAAATATCCAACCAACCATAGTACAACCTACTGAACAGAACTTAGAAGGCAAGATCAAGCCTTCCAAGTTGAAGCTTTAATATCAAGAACAATTATCTGTAACTATGAACGGACTAAAATTGGTGAATTTCCTTAAGATGAAAAATAGTGAGATGCTTCACTGTAAAACAGGAATACCAACACATAACCGCTCGATCAATATATACTCAAGATCAAAATAATGTATCTGCTGTATATCTGGTTCATATTCATATCAGTTTTAAACAAATATTGCTCAAAATTTTAGTATTTGTTCGATATCCATATCTGAATTCATATCAGTCGATTAAAAATGAATGCAGATATAGTTTATTTACTATCCAATCTGTACCTTATCCATTTCACCCCAGATAGAAAACATCAAATAGTTCATAAGAGAAGGATATTTATGCACATAAAAAATAGAAATGGTTTGTACTCAAATTCAAAATGTTTCATACACAAGTAGTCAAGGAATATTAACTTAACTCCAAAGTAAATGTCAGGACCAGCATCCGATATGTAAAATTAAAAGACAGTAATAAGACTCAACAATATATTCCCAAGGCCAGTGAAAACTCAACCAAATAAATCCAAAATCATTAGGCCCATTGTCAAATGGTTACTTGCATCAAGGTTTTCTCTTTTATTTTCTTTTCTTCAAGTATTTGAATCAAGTTTCAAGTTAACCTTGAAGATATACCTTAATAATATTTCATAATTTGCTGCAAAAATGTACACTACACCACAGTGTTTCACTCAAGATACTTTGGCATAGTGATTGTAACTTTATGTATTCAAGTAAGGTGATTGAGTGACTTTATTTGGATGTCTAACAACCATAGTGTTTAGCATTGTTAAAAAAGACAATAAACTAATAGTATTGGTTTAACTCTTAAGAACAATATAGCAAGAGTTACTTAAAAGATAGTAGAAACAATATGGGAAAATTTTCTCATTAAATTATAGTCAACTCACGTCTTGAGGTCTAGAGAAGGGATTTCTTCCTTCAAAGTGATCTTCTTGTTGAATATCTCTGCTTGAATTAAAACAAATGTTATAATCGCTTCCGGCTAATGTTACAAAAAGAGCTGAAGCTACTGAAATTCATTAAAGAATTTATACAAAAGCAAAGAAAGATATTAGTGCTGCAGACAAAATAGTTGTCAATAAATAAAAAACTGCTGATCCCTAGATGTGTATTTGCTTCATCAATGATACAAAGCAAAAAAGTGAAAAAGGAAACATCAATAACAGTATAACATAATGTTTCTGGAGGAAATGAATGCCACGTCCAACTCTACTTACCTTCCGAAGAGTCTGGCCTGTGCCGAGCTGTTCTGTATTTCTGAAATGTAAAAAAAATAATAAAACAATTAAAACGCAGAGAAAGAAATGTCACACCAACTGAAGGAAAACAACAAAAAAAACCAGGGACCTGGAGGTGGCTCTTAACATGGTATATTGTCAAGCTTTCCACTTTCATGAGCTTCAGCACACCTTTAGGAGTTGCTTCTGAAGGTCAAGATTAATAACAGGTCAACTGATAAATAAATATGGTATGAACAGAAAAAGAAAGGGCAGCATACTTTCACTCCCCCCAAGCTGGTTGACAGCATCTACAAAGCATTCATGAAGCTCTGGAGTCCAGCGCATGCGTGGCTTGGCTGCGTTAGTCGCAGCAGATGACGAACTAATAACAGCACAAGTCTCTCCTGAATTAGATGGAACAGAATGATGGATTGGTGGCTCATGCACTGATATATTAGGTGTAGATTGAGTTGTTGAGTATACAACCTATATGACAACCAAAAATATTAATCAGAAGTAAAAAAACACAATCGTAAATAAGTTTACAATGACAACTACTTGAAACATAATTGTTATTGCCTCTAGAACACTCGCACGTAATGCTTGTTAGTTGTCCACCTTAATTTTTCACTTGTCGGATTTGGGTTGCCTACTAAAATGTCCAGTAGCACACGTAATTTACAATATGATTATCCTTCTTATGATAAATTCAGATGGTACCATCTTCCATCTGTTTGAAACAAGAGAATTGTAGCCAACAACAAAGAAGTGTCAATTATCTAGCAAAACCCACGATATCATAGTAAGATTGTTCCTTTCAACCTAGGTGATCAGGATTTGAGTCATGAAACTCACTTCTCTGGTTACGGGAGTAAGGCTACATAATTTTACCCTCCCCATATCCTACATTAGCAATAACCTTGTGCATTATGTTTGCCCCTTTTATGTAACAGCAAATACGATTGAACTTGTATAGTTCTGGGTATGGACATTGATTAAGAAACAAGGAGAAAAGGCGGATAGTCTTGAACAAACTTTTACAATATAATACAAATGAAATTCACAATTAAATGCAATATACATACCTTTGGCTGAGATTCAATAGCAGTTGTCTCATTAAGAATTTCCTTCCAATCTTCATCTATTATATCTGTCCACCACTCATTTTGTTTACTAAGATCATCAGAAACCATGGCAGAATTGCTTGGCATTTGATTGCCCACACCAATGTTATTGTCTGTAAAATCAAGAATGTTATCAACTGCATCTGGGCACCAGGCTACTTCAGTGGACTGTCTAGGAAAATTAGTTGTGATAGGTTGAATTGTTCCTGGACATGATGGATTAGTTGGATGCAAAGAGACCCCAACTCTCGGTGATTGTGTAGCAAACAGAGGATGCCCCTCGTGAAGTGAAAAGGAAGACCCATTAAGTTCTGAAGAAAATCCTGAAGGGGATGAATACAGAGATCCAACAATCCCACCATCAGAGATAAATGGAGTATGGTGAGAAGCCAGTGCGATGTTTCTTATTTCCCTCTCCACAGAAACTTGTTGTAAGTCTGTCAGCTTAGGAAATTTCTCTTCTGAGGGGGTCGGTAGAACAGGTAAAGATGATGACATAAGTCCATAACTTCCATTTCTTTCCATTCACAGATTTCCTGCAAAAAATTGATCTCTTAAATAAGGATGATGCCCAGAAATAACTTTTTTTGCTCACTAATAACTTGCAAAAGTTAAGCCTCCTCCAGTTTCAGAACCTTCCAGGAAAGGTGATGTTGTATTACAACTAGAACTAGTAATAACATAAATATACGTGTGTGTGTGTATATATACAGAGAGAGAGAGTTAGCTACTAAGCATTTTGTCAACTCACCTAATATGCCTATAACACTATTATCTCGAAATCAAAGTATAGTTCATCAACGAAAACGAAACAACCGATCAACATATTAAAACCACTATTCTGTCAAGTGAATACAACATCCACAATCCAGATGAAGCGGAAGGAACAAAAACATTACGAACATGTATGCACAACTGAAACATGAAGATTACATGAAGAGGAACATATCAAGATGAGGCTTTAGATTCTACAGATTATATATAAAGAGGGGACAGATGGGAAAACTCGAAATCGAAAAGGGGACATCTACACGCTACCTAAACAAAACCTAACAATCTTATGCACGTAAATCGAAGGAAAACTAGAAAATTCATCGACAGAAGTAATTTTTCGAGATTGTCCATAGAAACACAAGAACTCGAAATGGGATTTCCAGCCACGACCGAATTAACCGAACGGGACCGAACAAGACAATAAAAAGAGCTTTAGTTGCCCAAATCGGCTTGGGTGTCACCTCCTCGAGGGGCCGAAAGGGGGAAGAAATAGCTGCCACCGGAGACGTAGTGGCGAAGGCCTTGGGCGGAGAACGAGGGAGGCAAATGATTCCGGTGGCCAGACGAGACACGCAGCCGTCGCAACCCTCTAGAGAGAGGAAACTTCCATCTTAGCTTCCACACCCAAATCATCAAAACTGTTTTGTACCCTCCGCTACTTTACCTGCTTTAGTTGACCACGAGGGCGTCGTTCCCCTTTGCGGACCCCGCTGCGCAAGCATCGGCTCGTCCAATCACGACACCGGTAATAGAAACGAGGACTAGGAGTGGACGTTGCTCGAACATCGAGGATAACCAACAACAGAATACGGAAGAGTTTGGAAGCAACTTTGGGGAGGCGAGGGGAACATACCACAAATGGAAATGAACTTTAAACTGACTCCACGATCCACGTGTCTTACAATTGCGGTCAATCAATGGAGGGAGATTAAATTGATCCGGCGTTAGCATGTTGCTAAGCCAAATTAACTATTTAACCCGAATTTAGATATGGAGCTGTTGTACTGAGTTCCCGCATGATCTTGTACTAACAAACATCAGCAGTACCAAATTGTACTGAGGACTTCGCGTGAGGCATCGTAACATTTGGATTCGTTTTGTCCTCGCCGACAAAAAGCTAGATTCTGCTGCGGTGCGCACACGAAGGCAAAGAATTATTATTAGGTGTAATAGCGCATAATTATTTTTCCACCCGCATGAACATTATCGATGGTTACTTTATATTTAATTAATTAGTGGGTAATCATCCCAATTTTCTATCATAGCGAAGTCTCCGAAGTAGGGAGGTGACTACATCCGGAGGTTTGGTTAGGGGGTAGGACTGTAATTCTCATCGAAGCCCAGGGTGAAAAGGGGAAATGTAAAGAAGGCGCACTGGAGTCGGTTGGCTTCAGTGCGCCCCAAAGGCCGCCCGCGGTCGTCCATGTCGACCCTTCGCACTAACGAAGGAGCCCGCGCCTCTCCCTGCGCTCTCGTCGCACGAGCTTCTCGTGTACGCGATACTCCTCGAGACTTCGATTCGGCGCGCCAAAGGCGGAGACAACTGGCCCTCGCGGTTGGTGCAGCGGTCACCGGCACACGCCCACATTGCTCTTTCGAAGGCTCTCCGTCCCGGCGGGAGAGTGGGGTGGGGAAGGTGAGGTAGGATGGCCAGTGACGCTGGAAAGGAGGATCCGGACTGACCTGGAGGAGCACCTTCCTAAGAGGATTTCGATGCTTGCTCTCCACTTCTTCACTTGAACCTGTATTCCATGTTTCTCTCGTCCATCTTTCATCTTCAAAGTAGGACTACGTGACCTCCTAGTTCATCCATCATGGAAAGGAGAAGACGGCCACAAATGCTTAGTTGCACATGAAACTGGAATTGAATTTTCTTGCTGCTGGTCCTCTTTTTTGGTTGTTGTTCATGCAAGCACTCGTCTTTGTGTATTAGGATAGGAGTGCTCACAGTGTTTTTGAACTAGAAATTCGGCTCGAGCATTAGCTATCGTCGACCTTGAAAGTACAAAACACCGCAAGCATCTGTCATCTGAGTGTTTCTGCAGCAACATGTTGCCTTCTTTAACTTGGATGATAATGGGAGTTGTGTACGCTTGAGAAACCTACGCAGGTATAATACATATTAGATTGTTGCCTTCTTTGACTTGGATGATAATGGGAGTTGTGTACGCTTGGGAAACCTATGCAGGTATGAAACATATTAGATTATGCCATTTGTCTTGTAAGAGAAGAAAGGAAATCCATAGACTTCTCGTTTCTTGATCGAAACTAAGACAACAGTATCATGGGCCATCGGTTTCGACCCTATCTTGCTTATGGCAATCCTTATTAATGGATTTATGAGCCATCCATCACTTCGAGTAAGTTCATCAGAGAAGTTGGAGAAATGATATCCATGAATCCCAATATTGTTGAGAGAGAGAGAGAGAGATTTCATAGAGAAGTTTAAGAAAGAGAAGAAACGAGACGGAACAAGTAAAAAAAAAAAGAAGACACAATCAACTTTATTTCTCAATCTGCTCTCCTTAGAAATCTTTCTCTTACACCCCTTGTGGTGTCCCTTTTTCTCATGGGTTAGGGTTATTGGGGTTGTAAAGGATCTTATGTATAACCCTAAATTAATAATTTTCTATTTCTAATCAAACATAGATTTATAATTCAACTCAAACTCTTAATTAAATTTAAATTATATCTCTAATATCTTCTCTTAATTTATTTTTTTTAGAGCTATAATTCAACTCAAACTCCTAATTAAATTTAAATCATATATCTAATATCCTCCCTTAATTTAATTATTTCTTGAACCTCCAAGTTATCATCATAAGTGTTCAAACGCTTTAGTTTTCAAACACAATGGGTAAGTCGCAAAGGTTGTATTCGAGCTTAGGACCTTGCGATATATCATCAAAGTTTTCATAAGCTCTATAAAGATATTTACAACTTGATCTTGATTATTTTATTCTTCATTTGATGTTTTAGGACATAATCTCTAGTACAAATATGGTTGCTTTTACCACGATTGGTTGGATTTTTAGATAATTTTAGGGCTAAAGAATTATCATAAAAATTTTTGATTAGCACATCTTGCTCAATATTGCTACAATAGATTGCTTCTCATAATATCATGAAGCTCCTCCAATACCTAAAACGAAAATATAACCAAATATGCTATTATACATGTTGCCTAATTTTAATCTCAAGATAATATATCATTAATCCAAGTTAGTGATACCAAATTATTTTTTCATAAAAGATTAAAACTTATGAATCATGTCAGCATCATTACTAGTATAAATTATATCATTCATATATAAGCAAACAATTAATATCCTTCTTGTCTCTTCATATTTTACAAATAAAGTATGCTCGTAAGATGATTTTTCAAATCTATATGTCTCAAAATATGCATTAATATGACTATATTAGGCTCTGGGCAATTGCTTTAGATCATATAATATCTTTTTTAATATATATGCTTTATTTTTAATTCTCGTAATCATAAATCCAAGAGATTGATCAATATAAACTTCTTCTTGCAACTCATAAAGTAAAAATGCTATTAATATATTACTGATAAACTAATCAATTATTTATAGTTGCAATAGAAAATACTAACCTCATTGTCCTTTTTTTCTATTTATAACTTTTTACAACTAGTCTATATCTCAATAGTGTTATCTTATCTCAGTTTTATTCTGCAAATCCACTTTACACTGACAGGCTTTTCTTTTAGAGCTAAATCAATCAATTCTCATGCTTGATTCTTTTCAATAGAATTAATTTGCACTTCCATTGTTTTTCTTCATTTTTTATCTGAAAGGTGACTAGATCATCATTTGCAAATAATACAAGGTGAACTAGGATATTATCAACTTCTTCAACGTCTATAAAATTACGAAGATCCGTAACATAATCTTTCATCAATCACGATTGTCTTCTAATTTTCTAAGTTATAGGAGCTAACATAGATTATGATATTGAGGATTTTTCTGAAGTTGATGGGCTTAAAAAATCTCTGGCTAAGGAAGGAGATGTTCTTGATGTACTACATCTTCATTATCTATATTTTTTAAGTTAATTGGAACAAATTTGCCCATATCTATAATCTTTTTTAAAGTTTTTTTATTCATCAAAAACAATATTTTTATTAATTATAATATTCTTAATGATGGGATTATAGTTACTAATTATAATTTTTTCATAAAAAATTTTCATTGTAGCCCAAAAATATACATGTTTCTACTTTATCATCCAGTTTCTTTTTTTTTTTTTCTCATTCGGGACGTGAGCATATGCAACACAATAAAAAACTCTAAGATCACTCCATACTTCTTCGGGTGTTATATTTATATTTTCTAAGAAACATAATTTTAAAACATATATACTTCAAAATGCAATTTCAACCTAAAAATTCTTAGATAATGATTTGATTTTCAATGTACTTATGAGTAACATCATTTTGCTCTAAAGTACATGCTGCAAGTTATTGTCTCTTATAATATATTTTTATAAGATCTATCAAAATTATTTAAAGTAAATTCACCGTCCCTATTGGTTCTCAAAACCTTTATATAACAATCGTTTTCATTTTCAACCAAAGATTTAAATTATTAAAAAGTATAGAAAACTTCATATGTTTTAATAAAATACATCCAAAATTTTATATTGAATCCATCAATAAAATTGAAAAAAAAAAATTTTTTTATTACCAAATAAAGTTGGATCAATCGCCCATAGATATTTGAATGCATAACTTCCAATGACTTTCTAGTTTTTCTATAATTATTTTTGAAAAAAAGGGTGATGATGTTGCTTTTGTATAATATATTCTTCTTCACATGCTTTATCGAGATGGTTAATTATAGAAAATCTTATGACCATCTTTTACTCATACAATATTTTTAAGCTATCAAAATATAGATAATCAAACTACAAATGCCATAAACAAGATTCATCTTTAATGAATCGAAATAAGAATTATTAGCAATATGAATATTCAAAGAAAATATCCTATTTTTGGTATCTCAACCATAGTAATAATTCGACTTTTATCATCCTCAATTTTGTAAATATTATCACTCATGCATGTATTCAATGCTTGCATTCGGAATCTCGCATTATATGGATGAAATAAATCTAACGCTAATGACCTGAGATGCAAAATATCTCGATCTAACGAGAAACCCGAATCACAAAATCCAAGAGTGGTGGAGAGATCCCGATCGTTGTGATGCGCGGCGTCGCGTCCCCAAATCAAACGCGTGACGACCCCGACCGAGTGTAGTATTGTCTCGAAGAAGCGAAGACGCGGATGGTTTCATGGAATCCCAAGAACGGCAGCGGGAGGAAAGCCTCTGTTCCCAATCCCCTCCTCTCCGTTCCTCGATCGAAGCCCTACAGCTTTCTCCGATTCCCGCCTCGCTGGGACTAGCGTTCGTCTGGGCCTCCCTTGTCCTTGTCCGATCGCAAACCCTCAAACCTCTCTCCACCGCCATCAAGCTCGCCGACAGCGCCATCAAGGGCACCGAGGCCCTCCGGCTTCTCCACTCGCCTTCGCCCCAGTCGGTCTTTCTCGCCACCAAGGCCCTCGTGAAGAGCTACAAGGCCTCCAAGCTCCTCCATCCGTCCAAATTCCACCCTAAGATCCCTTCCGTTGTGGCGGCGAGGCTCAAAGCTTGCCTCGGCGCCGTCAGCCTTCTCGGCTACGCGAAATCCCCATCCGTCGTTGATGGTTTGCTGGGGATAGGGTTCCTGAAAGGTGGATACAAGGTTTCGAAGAACACTGCCAAGGTTCTTGAAGGGTTCGTGGGTTTTCAATTGAATTCAGCGCTCAGAGATGGCATCGATGCGTTGGGACTGCTGGTTAAGGCTGCGACGGTGGGGAGAGAGATTAAGCGCTGGTTTTCGATTGAGTGGCGCACGAGGAATCGGCGCGTCTGTCTCTTTCTGACAGCTGATTTGAAGCATGGGGTTCGTTTGAGCTACAAAAGATTGGATTTTGATGGCATTCGTGGATGTACGAGAGTTTTCTACTCGGAGCCATTTCCTTTATGGGAGGCAGCTGTGATCGGTGAGATGGCTGTAGCTTTCCACCCGTCTGAATTGCTTTGCTTGTCAATTCCTGTAAATGAGGTAATCCCAACGAAATCAATGTAGCTGCTGTATAGTGGTTATCTTGTCTGTAGTTGCAAAGCAGTCTATGCTTATCTTGTATCTCAGGCTTGTAAACTTGTATAACTGATAACGGAAAGTTTTGCTGCAAATTATTTTAACCATGGCTTATGATCTTCTCCATAATTTTTTAGTGACATAGCCACTGAGTTCATCGGAGAGGGCATTGCTTAGGTTTTGGAGATTGATTTATACTGTAATAGAGTATTGCCTTTGTATGATATTGAATTATGACTAGCTATTCCCTTATTTTACCTAGGTCCAATGAGGAAAATTCTCACCATTTGAGCTAATGCTTTCTTCAAAGTGGAGTCGATTTGAGTAGTTGAGTAGAATGTCGTTTGGATGAGAAAAGTTGTAGAACTTTTTAACATGGTAAGCGGTGCATAAATGGAACTTGTGATCATTAGGTAACCTAACATCCTGATAGCAACAAAAACATCATCATGATTGCCAAACGAGCAATGCCTTCTATTGCTAGTTTGAAAATTGGCATGGCATAATCTCCAAAGCAATATTTACCCTAGACCAACTGCACCACTAGCCTTTTTCTTTCTCGGGTTTAGATGTCTCATGTCACTTGAGTAATTTTTACCCTAGACCAACTTCACCACCAGCCTTTTTCTTTCTCGGATTGGTGAGCAATACATCTAATGAAACATGGGCAACATGGAGCCTAGTGCCTCAGTAAGCTGTTGGTTTGGTAACATGATTGAGGGTTTTTCACTTTGAAGCCAAGCCGGAACTGGGATGAGGTGTTAGAAGATGTTAGATAGGTTCTGCAGTCATCGTGCTTTCCTATCTGACCATTACGGATAAATGATGTGGTCTACTTGGCTTTGGTAACTAATTAGCTTCCTCCCGTTGCAGGATAAAACAATTAACTATGACCTCTGCTTCTATCTTCTATTCTTAATTTTGACTTTCCTAATATGTTCAGGGTCTGCTTTTGGTACTCTACTTTGCTCACCTTTGCTGTTGAGCCTAAACCTTTTGGCGATTAGACCTTCCTTCATGTGCTCTTCGAGTGCCCACTTCTTTTTCCTAAACTTCATCATCCGTCCTTGTTATAATTGGCCTAGTCTTATTCTTCAAAGTATCTTCAGATGCAAAAGCTTTTGTTATGTTGACTGGTTAAGGCCTCCTTACTGGCTTGCACATTTGTTTTTTCCTCGAGAAACATTAGGGGTTATCCTTTCAAATCTTTTGTCATAAAAAGAGAAGCATGATTTATATGCAAAAGTAAACAAACAAAACATAAAGAAAAGTGATATATAAAGCTCAGGAGGGGTTCCGAAGGAAAGTACAGAAGTACCATATGTTATAGAAATTATGCCAGAAAATCTCATAAATTAACTCTTGATTAGTCATAATATTATCACCATCCACTGGCTTGTGAATGTTTCTCAGAAATTCCATATTGCATGTGACACATCCTAATTATTCTCAGTAAATATCAGAAGTAATTTCTATTACATGCTAGAATCTAGTTTTTGAAACATTTGATTAGTTGATTGCTTGTAAAATATTTGGATAAATCATTTTACTACTTCAGTTGGTAAAGGTCCGAAATACTTCATCACCCACTATAGTTTCTTTGAAGAGGCATCGTTGACTACAGTTAATTTTGTGTATGCTGTGGTTGAAGATTCTTTCCTACAACTTAGTTTTCCTGCTTCATAATCAAACTGGATATTAATGTTGAAAAATATGAATAGATACAATACCTACATGGGAATTATTTTTCCTTAGTTTTCTCAAGGATAAACTTGGATGCCATTTCAATTTTTTTCTTACTGAAGTCTATTTCACCAATACTAAAATGGGTACAAAACACTCAAGCTGCCAAATTGGCCCAAATTAGTTCATAATTCAGAACATCCACTGCAGAGCGAACTGGTCAAATGCTTGTTATTGTATGTAATAAGTTCATGACTGTATGATTACATATCCACAATCTGATGTCAACCTCTTCTCTAATTTTGACTAGAAAACAATTGACAATGTATTGTTTGATTTTAGTGAACGACAAGCTTGTCAATTGAGGTCAATTGAATCAGGTAAATCAGTTACTATACAAACTCCAATGGTTCTTGCTTTGCTGCACACAATTATCTAATTAGCCTTTGACTTCCAATTATGTAATGTACTGGCAAATTTTAGCACCTTGTTATGTATAGCTAATGCACTCATGAAAATATGGAAGTTAGCGAAAATCCAAGATGTATATTGCCCATCTTTAGTTTCTCATTTGACACTATTATGTTCCTCTGGAGCTATACAGGGTCCACAGTGATTATCTGCCATGACTCCTATGTATGTTTCTTGGTGTTGAAACAATGAGAAATGGGAAGACAATGTTGTGGCAGTAACATTAGTTTCCATGCCAGTCATTTTATTGTATGGTAAATAATGGCTACATCAGCTGTTGAATGCAAGTAAAAAAATCAGCAATATGAGTCAAACTTGTCAGGTCATGTGACTCATTTGCTTATATCCAAGATTCAAGAGTGAAGTTGTTCTTAAAAGAGTTCATGCCACTGATATGTACAAGGATGTCTGAGGAGTCGAGTATGTCTTCTTCCTTCATAACCACCTACAAACAAAAGCAGTACGTAATTAAAATGAGTAAGATATGCATACTCATATAGGAAAGGAGCCAATGTCATCGAAGTAAGTTTTGACGTGAGGTCATCTTGTGGAAGCTTTGCGCTGAATTTGGTTAGGGGCTATTTTACCAAGTAGCTGAGTTTTTCTAATTCTGATCGTCTACAAATTTAATCTTTAAAATGTGGGTTGAATTTGTAAATTGATGTTAGTTTTAAGCTTCTAAGCTCTCACATACAATGATTATGGTGACTGCAATTTTCTTAACGGGTCTTCCTTTTGATATATGTGAATAGTAGTAGCTACTGCTTCTTCAGAATTTATCATGTTATTATCCATCGGTGCTGATGATGCTAAAGTAAGGTGCACAAAACATTTTGCTACTGTTGGACAAACAGAATAGCAAGTGTCGAGGGAAAACTGCCAGAAGCACCAGATTGTGGAAGCATGTTTTTGGTATAAAGGTAAAGTGCAATGAATTCTGGGTGATTTTTAGAAATCTAATTACATATTTCATAGTATTTTTTTTTTCTTTTCTCCAAACAAGCTAACCTCAAAATCATTCTATATTGTTGCAGATAAATTATGATCTCCTAGTTTTTGTGTTCTTTTTATATTTTTGTATCATAAATGAGATGCACATTTCTAAGCTGTGAGGATCTGTATCATGTGAGACAGAGTCTGAAATAAGAAGGGTCGGTCTCTGGAACTGTGTGTTGAGCTGCAATAAAAATGGTAAAAGTAGGTTCTTACTTCCTCATCCATTTCATGGTTTCTGGAACTGGGTTTTGTCATCTCTCCAAATTCATCATTCTTTGCAAACCGCCCTCGGACTCTAGGTCGGCTGTCTGCTAGAGTCTTCCTGCAAGCATACTGCAAGTGTATTGCAATCAATTTAGGCTGTATTTCGATTACTTTCAAAACTGTTAATTTTACCTTGATCTTTTTGCTGAAGTTTCTTTGATTTCTCTTCTTAATGTATCTGGTGATCTTCTCCTTCCTCTCCTCGACAGACAGACGACCTACTTTGAAGGTGGACTCATCCATAGCGGAGACGTTGGAAGCTGGCAGGGGTGTTGGGTTGCCACTGTTCCCAGCCATCAGATGTTGGCTCCCTCCTCCAATCACCTTTACAAGGCAAATGAAACTCTATTACATCCTTCTATGAAAAGGGCAAGGTATGTGATCTGTATTGTGCAAAATCTATTTACTACAGCACGAGGCTCAAACTAATTGTCAGTTGATACTTGATAAGCTGGATCTATTCTACGGCGATGCGAGCAACTGAAACAACCTGGGCACCAATTCCCAGGTATGAACCATCTGCTATAGTCTATGGATTGCGTGGAATAATGTATCAACTGTTCTATCATCTAATAACTTTCTTGTCAAAAGAGCCGCTGAGGAAGCATATAGTCAATGGTCTTAACCCATTTTTCTTTCACACAGTCACTTTCAATCATCGATTGGCTTGCATATAATATAGTTGGGAGAATCCTGCTCTGGGCTATTAGAGTTGGTATTACATTAGTCGCTCAGACCTTCTATGGAGGCACCAAAGATCAACTTTTTCTTGTAGAATAAGATATATTCCACAGTTTGATGTAACAACTAGGTGAATCTTAAGGACTCGACTCTTCAATCAAAAAGATTGTGGTTAGCTTCTTTTGCCTGGAGGCAGAAATGCAACCTAAAAATGGCTTATAGCTAGTGCCGCATAAGTGTTCGCATATTAATTGACGTGTTTATGTTCTCAGTTAATCGTTGCTCCATTGGAGCTTGGTCATCCGCAAGATCTTGCATGTGCGCAAAGAATTAGGCCCGAAGTATCTGTTGTCCTCGTTCAACATCATCATTTGCGGACACGTGCTTGGACGACCAGGTCATGAGATACGTGTGTTTTCGGGCATGAGTGTTAGTTTCTGTCACGGTTCATCATGTCAATTATATGTGAATAATAACAATAATGTATTTTAGGAGCAATAAAAATATGATATCAACTAAGATATTTATAATGTAACTGTCCTTTTCGCGTGCATGATTATTCATGTGTCGGTGCAGACGAGGAGAGAACTTAAAAGTGCTCTGACGTCGACAGAATAATAAACAACGATAGAGGGGGTTATTTGTACCTGTAAATTCCCAGTGCGGTACGCTCGCAGCGGCGGCGCTTCCAGCCCGTACATCCCCGAACCAGTTACCAACGCCTGGTAATCTGCCACGTGTTCCGAACCCATTGGCCCTACCTCGGGCCCCGCCGCCATCATCCCTCCCGCAGGAAAGAACCCGTGCGGCCCGTCACCGCGCGCCGACCCGCCCCAGTGGTACGACGCCCCGACGCCGCCCCCGTCGAGGACTGCACACAGCGGCGGTGTCATCCCGACCGCCGCCGCCACCGCCGCGTGGAATTCCTCATCGCTCGCCGGACGCTGCTGTTGGCACCTCGGCGGGCCACCGGTCGCCGCCATCTGGACCGCCGCGTGGTCGGGCGGGTACGGCCGGTATTCGCTCGTGGCGACGTCGCATATGGAGATCAGGTCGTCGAAGGGTTCCAGGCTGAACTCTCCTGCGTACGGTGGCTGGGCCGTGAACATGTCGAGATGACGGCCCAGCGACGAGGAGGAGGCCGAGGAAAGGTAGCAGACGTCGGGAAGGAGGTCGATCTCGGGGTCCAGCATCTGAGCTGGGAGAGCGTCGAGTGAGGGGAGGAGACGTTCGCGATGAGGAGGAGAACACGTCGTGGCCGTGCCGGAGGAGGAGGGCGAGGCAGCCTCAGGTCGGAAGGAGATCGTTGCCGATGTCGTTCTCGTACAAGTCGAGGATTTGGGCGGCGATGGGAATGCAGATACACCCTCCGATTCTGCTCCCGAATGGGCCATTTTAAAGGAGGAGGAGCTACAAGAAGTGCGGAAACTATTACAACAGTACCACCAAGAAGAACACCGAGAGGGACACCAAAGCGTCTCCATTAACGATTTTTTTACCTCTTTTTTAGATAATTCAGAAAAACAAAACACATGGAAAAAGACTTGTAAAGGCCTTTTTGTTGGAGAAGGATAATATTTTTGTTTTACCACTAAAAACAAAGCACACAAAACACATGGACAAAGACCCAGTCCCATTACCTACTCTCAGTAACTACACCTTGGGCTCCATTTTTATTATATTCGAGTAAATAACAGTAATAAGATTTGGATTCCTGATATATGTTTGCTACTAGGAGGTACACAAGACCAACAAAGTTATCTTGCAATATTAGATAGTATCAACCATAAATGCAGATTCCATCACTCCTGAAAGGAAGAAGCAAAGAAGGAAGATTTAACTGTGAAAATAATTAACTGTACTTCTCAATATTCCTCAAATAAATATGATGTATAAATTGTTTTGAAAAGCGAGATTTTGTAGGCCGCAGTGTAACAACCAATTATATATAAAAAAATACGTGTCTTTCCTGTTCACATGTACAATTCATGCCATCTTGATTGTGTCAGAAGCCTTTGACTTCTTCAAAATAAACAAGAGAGAGAGAGAGAGAGAAATAGGACACATATCCTTTACTGAAAGGATTGGCCGTTTTATTATATAATACATATTACGGTCACCCATAATTATGGCTTCTTATGTGGCGACTCGACCGTCTTGGAACAGCTCGCCAACGTCGGTCTCTGTTGGCAGATCACGCCGTATAAAAGGCATCTCGTCAATCTTGATGCACTCGTGGCAGCTCACCCATTGCTCGCGTAATTATATTACCTTTTTTCTTCGTAGAGATCCAAGTGGGTCGGGTATGGGTTTCGGATCTCTGATTCCGGATCTGGTCGTGAACTCGAATCAATATATCGTCGTCATCCGGCCCTGGCGACTCGTCTCGAGTCGACTGGAACAAAAGCAGCTTTTGTAAACCCTACCGCCCTTACGGATTTCTCCTCCGCCTCTCTCTCTCTCTTTCTCTTGCTGCCCTTCAGGAATCACAGTTCTTGCGCAAACCCTCCGCCTGCCGATTCCGCGGTCGAAACCCTCAGTCGAATCCGCAATGATCTGCGCAAGTACAGTCCCGCCACTTGTTTTCGTCGTCTGCAAACCCCAGGGTTTGTTTTCTTTCGTTTCACCGTTCGGTTTAGGGTTCTAACCTCGATTCCTCCTTTTCTTTGTAGTCTCTGGCGAAGTGCCGGAGGAACCCGTGGTCTCCAAGAAATCCGGGCTTCTCTTTGAGCGGCGGTTGATCGAGCACCACATTGCGGTACGCTTTTTTTTCCTTTCTAGGGAAGATTGAATGGCTCAAGATTTCTAGCTGCATGAAATTTGTCCTCTGCTGCATCTGTTCTCTACCTATACCATTTTCTTGCCGAATCTTGATTAGTCTGTGCTCTTCTTCCTATCTGTTGGATTGTTAGAGTCACGGGAAATGCCCCGTTACCAAGGAGGACCTCACGATAGATGATCTTGTACCTGTGAAGACCAATAAGGTGCATTTCATAACTTCGATTAACTCTCAGTTATTATTATCTTGATAGTAAAAGCATAGTACTATTGGCACATAGATTAAGACACTAGAAAAAGAACCATAAAAGTAGCAAGATTCTAATTCGGGGGAACCATTTGAAAGAATGTTCACTGCAAAGTGACATGTCAAGAGATAATGAGCATCTTGTTGCATGTTGTGCAATTTATTTGGTTTCATTGTTTTAAATTTAGGAAAGATCATAAGTCAGTACATGGAGGGCTATACATCTGTGATTTAGCTGTACAGGCTATGAAGTCCAGGTGTCCCCTCTCTGGGACATAAAAGTTGATTTTCTATGCATAATAGCACCATAGTTTGCTTGATAGGGCTTTGGATGTCATGAAAGAGCACTTGAATCACAGATTCAGTGTTGAATGGGTTTTTGTGTTAGGTAAGTTACATTTACTACTAGTCAAAATGGTCAAAAGAAAACAACATCAAGAAGATCGTGTGACAAACATGGGAGAGATGAGATGTGCAGTAGTGAGAAAGAAGAAGATGGGAGAGTACAAGGCATAAAATTGCACCATGAGGAAAGGTCTGGAGAATTATTCTCAAACAACAGAATTATTGTGAATCATAATCTTCTGCGTGAAATCAACTATAGATCACAAATGCCCAGAATCTGCTGTTCTTAGGCTGTTTGAAAGAGATTGAGGAGATGAAGTTAAATCAGAGGCATTAGTGAGCTTTCCTCCTGCCTTTTCCAATCGGCCATCTCTTCTGTTTGTCCAATCTAGCAGGCTTGTACCAATAGAGAGTGAGTTTCTCTAAAACACTAACATTTATCAGACTCCACTTTAGGTACATTTAAAAACATAAGCTAACTGTTATTCATCTGATCAAGGCTTCTTACAATCCGCATGATGTTGAATATCTATCTTTGCTCAATGATGTTTTGAGACTATGCAGCTATAATTTGTATTTTGCTATGCAGTTTGTTTCTTGCTTGCTATTCCCATGACATAGAAGTCTCCATATAATATACTTGAGCATATGGCTCGAGGGTTCTGTATTGATTGCCTCACTTAAACTGCAAATAGACCTTACACCCTGCATGATCCTTGCAAATGTTGATTGGTTCAGAAGCCTCTGCCTATGGCCTTAAAGAAACTGATTATGTTCTGTTATAACTTTTGATACTTTGTACATCCGGGGACCTTGATGGCATGCATTTTGCTTATGCTACTGAGTTGACTGAGCAAGATATAAAGAACGGTATCTTTTAACAACACTTGGTCTTCTTTAGTGTGACCAAATCACATGGCTCGAAGACATGGGTTAACATCATCTTTTAATGGATACATGGATTCAGTATTTGCATTCTTGCATCACATATCACTGGTGTTAGGGACATGTTTTGCCATTCAAGTAGCATTTGAGAGTTATAATTCATATTGGTTATAGTTCTTTGAAACAGTTCTTTGCTGCTTAAGCAGAGAAAAGATATTTTAGCTGGACTGTATATGAAACATGGTATTGAGAGTGTCATGATTAATGCAAGATAATTTTTTCTTATCTAATGCATAAAGCTAGCAGTTCTTATACATTGATAGATGCTTCGAAGTTTTTTTCATCTGGAATCCCTGATATATACACTAGAAAATCAAGTTCTCATGATATATGTAATTCAAAATTTGATATATGGAAAATCACCTATTTTTAGATTAAGGCATCTGCCTAATGAAAACTGATAATGTTTTGTTTAGGTCCCTAAGCAAGAACAAGGTATCCAAGCACAAATTTTCATCTAAAATGGCAGGGCAATGGGTGCTACTGCTGAAATACCCAAAATGAACTGCCAGCCGAGTGACCTAGGAATAGCTTGCACTTCCAAACTCATTGAAGTAGACTTAGTTTACCACCGTCATTACCTTGCTTGATTCCTCTGCTGTTCAAATTGAACTTCTTTCAAACCATTCCTATTAGCATGGCAAGTCCCATGTCCAAACGAACTTTCAAGTTTTATGATCATGTAATGAACTTTCGAATTGCCTCATCGCATAATCAACCATGTTTGTAGTGATTTTCAAGTTAAGTCTGGATAAGTGTCCTGATCAGGCTGCCCTGTTTGTACCTCTGAATAGGACCAGATAGATTGGTATAATGTGCTGTAGTAATCAATATTATGCGAAAAAAAACACAAATTGTTACTAGGCAAGAGTTAAGTGTTGTAAAAGTCTAACTTATTGACTTGGATTAACTCTTGCTGAGTTTATTGACTACCTTGCACCAAGGTTCGTCGTACCGTAGCTTATAGCTTGGTACTAGCAGTATGTACCTATCTGACAGGGGACCGGCACGGGTGGTACCTTAGTATGTTTCCATGTACCATGTGTTGGCACATTTGGTACAGCTTGGTACAGCTCAGTAAGTACTGTACCAACAGCTGACCATTACACCAGCACGGATCGGTAAGGTGAATCATGCCTTGCATGAACATAAATAAAGAGCTTAGCTTGTTTAGAACTTAAACGATGAGGACTCGACTTTACAGAAACTGGAATAATCTTCTCTTTTGGATTCTTTTTGTTAATTGATCCATCAATTGCTTGCTTTATATGTGAATATTTTTGCTGGGTATGATACTACTGCAAATGCAATTGGATTTTTAAGCAGCTGTTGCATTGTGCTCAATGTTATTTTCTTTCTCATTGTTGCATGTTTTTTTTCTTCTTCTTTCTCAATCTTTTTCCAATGGTAGGTGGTGAAGCCCAGACCCTTGCAAGCTGCAAGCATCCCTGGGTTGCTAGGAATGTTTCAGAATGTACGTCTCCCCGAACTCTTTGGTTTATTTGGGGCTTCTCTTGTTCGTTTAATCATGTCCTGAAAAATTTACTACTGTTATTACAATCTGAATGTAATGAATGGCAAAATCCTTGATGTTAGTGCTTTTCAGTAATACTGGCTATTAGTTGGAACTTGGTAGTTCATGATGTAGCATCTTCTTTACTTCAGGGAATATAAATATATGTTGCAGGTTCCGGAAATTTCATTTGTATGATTTTCTATTCACATCACCATTTCATTGATAACCCATGCTGCCATGTAGTACATGGATTTGAAGTGTCAGCTGAATTTCTTGTCTCAATTGGCTTCCTGTCAAATAATAGATGGAGGAGTGTGTTTGGTTATTCTTCATTGGTGTTGAGAAATAATCTGGTTCTAATTTGGTAGTTGTGTAATCAAGGTGATATGCTACTAAGTTTAGCATTTATTGGCCAAATCCATTCTAAAAATTATTTATGCAGGTTTTACTACCTTTATCTGCACTTGTAACGAGATAAGATGGCAATTCATTGAGGGACATTTTTGTTAAAATAAAAAAAGAGAAAGTTGCATTTGGCAATCATTTCGTTTGTTCACCAGGGGCAATTTAAAGCCTGAGGCTACCTACTGTTGTAGAGCTTAATTCTTGTGATATGTCCTGGTTATGTAAAAGTCGTCATGATGCAAGAGCTGTATGTCTATGTAGTTATGTCTAATTGGCAAATTCTTCTTGAAGACTAAAAGTATTAATGAATTTTACCGTTTTTCTGTTTATGTAACTTAATAATTCTTACATCAGATTCTTATTGACCTTTTGGGAATTGAACCGTTGGTTTCTTTTCTTTTTATGTAATAGGAATGGGATGCTCTAATGTTGTCTAATTTTGCTTTGGAGCAACAATTACACACGGCGAGGCAAGAGCTAAGTCATGCCTTGTATCAGGTATGAATTAATTTCTTGTTTATGAGAGGGAATATGGTTTGATTGTAGACCATCAGTTTGTGTTGTCCTAATTGTGTTTTTTATTTATTCTTGCATTTTGCATTTGATACTTAGTCATTTTCCATGATTGTTTTTGTTAATACCTTTCTCATTAGGTGCTTGTTATGCACAGTGGCTAAAAACTTGAGAATACAGGGACTATAACCTAGTCACGTGGTTTGCCAACCATTCGGATTAATTCTAAAGAAACATGCTTGGTTCATTATTAAAATTACTTTCTATCATTTTTTTCCCTAAATTGATAGGTAATGAGGAACAACAGATGCAGTTGTAGATAAATGAGCATCAATGATGGAGGTGTCTAAAGTTTTATCAAAGGGTAGATTAAGCTTTTTCAGCAAAGCTAGATATCATGGATGCTCTTACAGAATTTCTCTCATTAGTAGCATTTTCTTTATAAGCTTAATCTTTAAGCCTTGCCATTGGAATAATTAATAGTTTTGGTGGTCTCAACTATAAGGTAGTTATAAGTCATCATCTTTTAAATGAAAATGTATAGGTAGCAGTTAATTTAGTCATGACATTGTCCCACTTTGTTGGTGTTTAACTGTGGTTCTATGAGAAATTATTAATTATTATATAGTTTTTTAAGTGATTCTTTTTGTTTTATGGTGGATGGGTTGAATCTTTTGTTAGTTTACTTGCATTTGATCTACCATCCTTTGTTACCCATGTTTTGTTGTTTTTCTTATCCTGAGAGTACATGGCATTGCTTTTATGCTTTTCAATGTTCGGACTACTATTTTGTCATTCTTGCCTTTCCTTTTCGAAATAGTGCTAAATCATGGGATTGGGCTGAATTTGGATAGTCTTGCAGGACCAAATATCATATAGCAGGGTTGGAGCTAAGTCCAAATTGTAGTTGTGATTAAATTTGAACATAGAATTAAAACCAAAACTGGAATAAGAAGCTGAGGGTGGAACCAGTAGAGGGTGAGAGAGCAAGGAATAAGACAATTGGGGGAGATAATGATGAGGGAGATCAAATAGAAGAGTGTTAGGGTTCGATTATTTATGAAATGAATTTTGATTTAAGTTGTAAAAATGAAATGAATTGATGATATGATATTTAACTAACGGTTCTGCTTCAACAACGCTCGAAGGATTCCTTTTATATATATTGCATTAATTTTAAGGCCTTAATGTTCCAACTCAAGCACATTAGGGCTTGTTCAAGCTTAGTTCTTTAAGAAGCAGATTTGTAAAAATATGATTTGATCATGCTCATTGGGCTTGTGAATGGGCTAGGGGTTTAAATAGGGTGCTCGCCTAAGCACTCAGGCGAGGCGAGGCTCGAGCGCCTCAAACCTCGACTAGGCGAGGCGCTTCAATGAAGCGTCGCTTGGGTGCTCGCTTGAATTGAGGTGTCGAGCACCTCGGGCGAGCGCTCGATTAAAATGAGGCAACTGAACCAGGCTATTAAGTTTGGTTCGATTGAACATTAGCTTAGGTGGTTCGATTGAACCAACTAAGCTATATAATGTTACTAAATATGTGCACACAAACACCCTCCCCCCCTCCCCGCGCAGCCCCAAGCCATAAACCCTATTTCGTGCGTAGTTGCTACCTTCTCCGTCGTTGCCTCCTTTGTCGTTACCTTTGCCATCGACGCACAGGACCGACACTTCCTCTATCATCGACAGATGGGTTCGAAGGTCTAGCTTTCGTGTGTAGTTTCCTCCGCCATTGTTGCTTCCATGTGCAGCTCCTTCCACCGTCGAAGGAGAGGACCACAGCTTCCTTTGCCACTGATGAATACATTTGAAGCTTCCTCCGCCCAAGATGTCATCGTCCACAGCTTCTGTCATCATCGTCGTCATCGTTTGAAGCTTTTTTCGTCTCTGCTGCTGTTGTTCGAAGCTTCCTCTGTGGCTACTGTTGCCATTCACAACTTCCTCTGTCGTTGTCACTAACGTCCGAAAGTTCTTTCGTCATCGTCGCCCACTCTTTCCCCACTTTCTATCGTCAGTAACTCTTTTCTCCTCTCTAATTACTGTTAATAGTTGATTAAATACTGTTAACAGTAGATTGTTAACTATTGTTATTATATAATAGTTCCTATTTAGATTTTAGCACTGTTAGTCTCCATTTATTAATTATATTTTATATATTTTATATTTTAATATTTCAGAGCGTCTTGCTTCGTTCGGGCGAGTGCCTAGTGCTTTTTAAATCACTGGAATGGGCTGGGCTCAAACCAAATGTCAGGTTGAGCTTGAGTTGTTCTTGAACCTCATGCCTTGCTTACATCACTATACAACATTGTCTTGAGAGTTGTATTTATTATTTTACACATGCTTGTCTGATTGGTTGTTTTAAAGCTTTCTGATTGTGCTTGTCCTTCCAACTTAGATATGGTATAGGTTTGGTCTTTTTCATGAAAGGCTTCACCGTGAGAATGATCTAAGGGCTCCCTAACAAGTCAAGGTGGAACTTTGTTTGAGGCATGGTTCGCTTTATTGGTCCATATCGATGTACCGATTGGCTGTCGGTATGGTATGTACCGGCCCATATCGATGTACCAACACATGGTACAGTGGGGTATATTGACATACCAGTATGTATTGCTCGTACTAATCTCCCGTTGGACTAATATGTACTGCCTGTATCGAACGGTATGTTGTGATATGACGACTTTGAGGTTCATCTACTTTATATTAGGCTATATACAATTTTTTTTTGGTGATAAGTTGCTATAATGAGGAAAATAATAAGATGGTCATGGAATAAAAAATTGGAATTAGGGAAAGGTTCAGTGTAAGATGAAGTGGTTTCCTATTTTTGTTGTTTTTTTGGTTTTAAATTCACTTTATCAGTGTTGATAAGTACCTTGTTCCAATCATGAGACTGAAGTTTGCAAGGTGTATAGAGTTGTGAAATCTTTCCACTGATTTCATAGCCTTCTAGTGGCGGTGTGAGTTCAATATTTGGTCTTTTCCTTCTCTAGGTTCTTCTTTATTTTTTTGTTCTTTTTGTAGTTGTTGAAGCCTTTTTCTTGCAAATTACTTTGGCCACAAAAACAATTTCAAACTGCTGATGCTGTTTCTAATTCTTGGTTCTTAAAGTAATCATTATCAATCCTTTTTATCTAGATGTTTTTTAACTTGAAACATGGAGCAGGGAGTTTATGATTGTTCTTTCTATGCCTTAAATTGGTTCATATTTAATGCTGTGGTAAATGTATGTTCAACATTCAATTGCTGATTGCTGCATTAAGTTCCAGAAACTGCTTTGTTTGCATTAATTTTCAGACAAATATCTTTCTTGAAAGTTTAAACCTTGAATTCACTATCTTTTTGTTATGCAACTCATGCGCCAAATCCTTGGAAGTTGTTTTAAATTTTCTATTGATTGTTCTGATCTGATGATCTCCTGATTGGATGTAACTAAATTAAATTGTGAATGACCTGATGGCTCTTGTTTCTTATCGGAACCTTCCTTTGTATTGCTCTGCATCAGATCTCTAGAATCATTGCTGATACTTTTTCCCATTAGCCTTCTTTTGTTTTATATATTGTTTTAGCACCTTGTTGGTCAGATCATTTTTGCAGCACTAATTGCATTATCCTTCAGCATGATGCTGCATGCCGTGTCATCGCAAGGCTGAAGAAGGAAAGGGATGAAGCCAGGGTGCTTTTGGCTCAGGCTGAGCGACAGATCCCTCTATTAACGGCTTCAGCTGCTAATGCAACAACTATTGTCAGCAATGGGAAAAGAGGTTTTGATCATTTTAAATTCAATGTGAAGTTTGGCTTCTACAACAGGAATTCACTACATCTTGTAAGACTTTATCATACTTGCAGCTGCAGAGGATGAGTTGGGTCCTGATGGAAAGAGAATTCGTCCTGGTATTAATCCTGCTATTATTGCAGAACTTACAGAATGCAATGCTTTGCTTTCTGGACAGCGGAAGAAGCGGCAGGTACCTTTTCTCTTTTCTATTGCAGTCAAATTGGCCTCTTCCTCAGCCATGTGATCAGTATATTTTTAACACAACCATTTGACTGCGAAAGCAGCAGGATCACCACCACCACTTTCATCATGCTATCTATCCCAACTATATGTGGTCATGTTTGTTGTGGAAAAGCAAATAATCATTGTGAATTGCAGACAGTCCAAGAACACATAGATGTAAAAGATGGGTGGATACTATAAACATTGGCTTCTTTTTTTGTATGTTAGATCCCAGCAACATTGGCTTCTGTTGATGCGCTGGAGAGATTCACTCAGATCTCTAGTCATCCTCTTCACAAGACTAACAAGCCAGGCATTCTTTCTATTGATATTGATGCTTCCAAGGTACATCAATTCTTTGGTTGCTTTTCTGGTTACTTTCTCTTTGTTCTTCAGTTTATATATATATATATATATATAGTCACATGCATACACACACATATATATATGTATATCCATATATACATATATACACACATATTATATATATACATACACATACATATGTACATATACATGTACATATATAGCCTCATTTTTCGCAATAGTCTCTCTTTGAGTTGCATATTAGTCCAACAGTTCTTTGTATTGTATGTTAATCCTGACAATGTTAAATCGTAGTGCTTATTGAACCTTCTACGTATTTAACTTTTGCATGGTGATGATGACCATACTACTTCTCTGTCCTCAAAGTAATGCTATATAATGTTTATTTTCTAGTTTTATACTTTGTTTCTCATTCTATGTTAGTCTTGATATTTTTTTATTAGAGTGGAACTTCATAAGTTTTCTATTAGAACTAGTGATATCTAGGAGATATCATTTCCTTTCGAGACCTTGAATATACATAACCTAAAACCTTACAATCATTAGAAAATGATGCAAGGAGATTAGTATGTTAGTTGAAAAGTAAAGGTGAAATATTGATACAAATGCAAATCCTCAGATGAAATCTATCAATTTGCTGTTTGGACTGTTATTGTGATTGGAAATTGTAAGTGGTAGGATTAAGAGACATTGTAAGGTGCCTTTGAACTTTTTGGAAGTATGGTTCCAAGGAAGAATGGGATAAAATTGATAAAATATTTAATATCAAAGACTACCATGATGAATAGACAAGTCATCCAAGCAAGAAGAAGATAAGGGTAAAATCATCAAAACTTCTATTATCAAAGTTTACGATGATCAAAAAATCTTTCTTGATATCTTCTTTATTGTTGTGTTTATACAAACTCAAATCACGAGGTATCTTTTGAACTTTTAGGAAGTATGGTTTCCAAGGGAGAAGAAGTGTGTAGAGTTGACAAAACATTTAGTATCAAAGACTACCATGATGAAGAAACTTTTTGTTCCAAGGAAGGAGAAGAAAGGGATAAAATTTTCAAAAATTTTAATCATCAAAGATTACAATGATGAAAATAATTTCTTGAATTGTTTCCTTATTGTTGTGGTTAAACAAACTCAAAAGGCTTTTACATGATATGGTTTGGGAATTTTTAGGGAGTAACATGAAAAAAGGGTTGAGCTATTATTGTGGAAATCCCGTCGATATGGGGAATTAATATGCAAAATGCCTTTAAGGATATGCATGCATGCATGCAACTGGTCAAACTTTTGGCATGAATGGACAATTGTACAGCCTTTGCAATGGGATGGTAGAACTATTTATGGACATAGTTTACCATCCCAAAAGTAAGGCACTGGATTTAGAATGCATTAAAGAACTAGTGTTTCAATCGTTGGATATTCGACTGTTTATAATGATACATGAAGACATGAAATGTAATGTAGTTTTGGTTTCTCGGAATTTGCTTTAGCCTACAAAGAAAGTGCAACACCAAATATGCAACATAAGGCTTGATAATTAATTTTTGAAACATAAATATATTGTTTGTCACACTCTTGATGGAAGGCAGAAGCATATGAAAGCTTATGTTCCCAATTTTCATAACTTATGAATATTGCTAATCTGGCTGCAAATAATGCAGGAATAGCAGAATGATATGTTTATCCTAGGATTACTTTATTCGATATTTTCTCCATTTAAGAAGACATCTACTGTTTTCTTAATGAAGATATGAAACTGGGCAATTTGTGTGTATTCCATGCCACACCACTTATATGAAAATTGGTAGTGCTCCTATTCTTTTACAAATCTGATGGATTTAGCAATTTCTCTATTGGTTTTGATGTTAAAGTTTCTTTCCTAAACACAATTTGCATTTGGATAATGCTATGCTAGCACTATATTATCTATTCTATATGATGGAAACCATGTCTTGTTTGAGACATTCCTGGATGACTAGCAGGACATGATTGCAACGGGGGGTTTTGATACGAATGGAGTACTTTTTAATAGGACATCAGGTCAGATCTTATCTACACTTGCTGGCCACTCAAAAAAGGTTTTTGCTTCCACCACAGCTTACTGTTTCTGTTATTCAGTTCTATGTATTTCTTTCTTTAGTGGTTTCTTAGTGAGTGAAAATTTTTCAATGATTCTTTTTCTTTTCACTGTAGGTTACCAGTGTGAAATTTGTGCCTGGTAGTGAAGTGATTGTAACTGGGTCAAGTGATAAGGTTAGTCACAATTGACTAGTGTGTTATATATTCTCATTGGCTTCATATGCAACTTTCTAAGATTTTTTTTGTATATTTTCTGTATGTAAACTGTCTATGCTTTTTCCTGTGGATCTAATATGGACTTGTTCTCTTTTGCTACCATCCATTGTTTAATTCTTTTGCACTTCTTATTTTCTATAATCTTAATGTCCAATTAAACCATAACCGCCTTACATGTTTTTATCAAAGGGGGAAATGGAGTAAGCAATTCTTAAAGAGAATAAGATGAACTTTATGTAATATCCTCATTTTTGTAGAATTATATGATGAATTCTTCAATGATGTTAAACTGAATGTTCACATAATCCAGATTAGTCACATATTGGTCCAAATATGTGCTACAAATTTTTATGGAACTGCCTTTCATACAAATTTGTAAAGTTCAGGTATATATCTCTTCAGATGTTCTTTCTACTGTGTAGTCTACTTGTGCATGTAAATGCATGTGTTTTTTTTTTAATTGACATGGACAAATGCCATGTGATTGTTTAACACATTATATAACTCAATTTCTTATGCATTTAATGCACATCGGTTTGACATTGATAAAATCATGGTATGATGTACCACCTGATCAGTATGAAACAGTCGGTATGCATTGGTTTGCCAGCTGATTGGTATGTGGATCAGCTTGTTTCGGGCAGTAGGTACATTGTAAGGGCGGGTATTACGTGGTTCATCCCTTGTAAAGCCCTCTCCCTATTTCACTTATTGTCACTCACTCTAATTGTCGCTGTCTTTCTCACTCTCTTTCTTGCTTTTTCTCACTCTCTCACTTGTTTAATCTTCCTAGTCGGTGATAAGTGAAAATCAACCTTCTGATTGGTGATAAGTGAAAAATAACCTTTTGATTCGGATAAATAGGGATTGGAACTCGAGATATAGTGGAATTTCTCTCCAATTGAACGTATTTTGATCAAGGGTCGCAATTTCATATTGTACTAGAGTATCGAGTTCAACTCGGTATGGTATGGTACGGGTATATCGAGTGGTACGTTCTGGCGTATCGTTCGGTATATATATATATATATATATATATATATATATATATAATAATAATAATAATAATAATAATAATAATAAAAAATAAAAAAGGGTCGACGTCGCCTTGTTTCTTCTCCCCGCGAAGCCTCGGCGATGTCACCGAGGCTTCTTCTCCCCGCGTGGATGACGAGAAGTCATCGATAATGTCGAGGCTTCGTCGCTTCAGCCGAGGAGGAGACGACATATCATCTACGGCGTCCGACAATAGATCGGGATCGTCCAGGGAGAGCGGCACCGGATCTCCAGGTTCTCTCTTTTCTTCTCCCTCTTCTTCTTTCTCCCTCAGCTAATATCGTCTTGTAGCGGGCGGCGATCGTCACCGACCGATTTATAACGGGGCGGAAACAACCCCAATTGGTATGGTCGGTATCATTCGAAATTAAAAATCCAGATTTAGATTCTTTACATTTTAGTTATAATTTCATATAATTAGACTTGTCAAAATCAACCTAGAGAAGATGTTTTATTTATCATTTCATATAATTAGAGGAGTGGAAATCAACCTAGAATTTCTTTTCATTTATGGTTTATATATACTTTATTCTTATCTGAATATAATACATATACAAAGAATTTAGGAGAACTTCCAAAATAGTTTTATTTATTTCAGGTCTTTTTTGATTTTTTTGGAACATTGGTATGTACAGGTGTATCAACATACACCTACCATTACATACCAGTCCGAGACGGTCTTCCTTGACTATAATATATATATGAAGAAATTGGGAGAAAAGCCCTAAAATAGGGTTTTTTTTATAATTTCAGGTCATTTTGGCCCTTTTTTCCAAAACATCGGTACATACCAGTGTGCCTATATACTGGTATGGCTGATTGGTATGAGATGGCATTCCTTGACTAAAATTATGTGATTGTATTCTTTTAACTAGACATGTTTTGATTCTTCCATCTGTAAATTCCTGATTCATTGTGTCTGTAAAGACCAGTTGATGACCATTAATTTCAAGAAATCAAGATTAATTTCTTGATTGTAGGAAATTTGCTTGTTGATGACCATTTGTTTGTATGGTCATCAACAGAAATAACTCATCAACACTCTCTTTCTTCTCATTTTTCTTTTTAATTTCTTTGCGTTGATTGTTGATGAGTTATTTCTGTTTTTAAAATGTCATAATTGGATGAAGATCTGAATGTAGGTTTATCTTTTATTCTTTCATTGTTCTTACTTGCATCATTGGAAGTTGTAATCCATTTTTTGTTTATAGACCTGCAAGCAAACATACAACAGTGGTATTTTTCTGCAGCTGCCTCACTATGCCTTAACCATCTTAGTTTTGTCCTTCTATGCAAAGAATTATAAAATATAATATATGCTTTCTAGGATAGCTATAAAATGATTTTCGATTATGTAGTTCTGAGTTATTTTCTTCTGAGCCTCTTGAAGAGTCTTTGTGAATCAAAATCCTAAAAGTGTGTGATGTTTGATTTTGATGATCTACATTTGTGCTTCTTGAATTGATTTATGTTTTCTACAGACTGTTCGTGTTTGGCAAGGGACTGAAGATGGTAGTTATGATTGTCGACATATCTTGAGGGACCACACTGCTGAGGTATGCTGATCTATTGCATCTAGTGTCTATTATTGATTATTTCGGATGTTTGTATTTTCCTTTAGGGCAATTGTCTATCCAACTTTCATGTTAGAGATTGAAAAGCTTTTAAACATGGATACTTTACTTTTGTGAAGTTTCTTAATAGTGACTACTTTGTGGGACAGCAGTTTTAGTTGGCCTTGAAACATACTATGAAAGGAAATTATGTGACTGTAATGCTGTTTTCTGTTTGCATTCTACATACATCAGCTTATAATTGCTTAACTGTATTTTATGTCTGTGCTAAGATATTAGAAATGTGCTGTTAATTCGTTTACCTGGCTTCATGTTTTTACCTACAATTTCTGGTCCTTCGAGTCTACTTTGGCTGCCATTTTATTGCTCTAATTTCTTGGAAAGGCTGGTTTTAGAATCTGAAGAATATGAAGAGTGGTTGAAACATTTCTGTAGATGTCATTTTGATGTCCAAATTATTAATTGAACAATTAGCTTTCACAAACTAATGTTACTCAATTTGCTTAATATGGACATCTTTAGATTAATAGACAAAGAAGTAAATTGATAATCTAGTTTATCTATTTTCATGAGTATGAAATAGAAAAGGTCTTGTGTAAAGCAACATTAAGATCCTTATTCTTTCTTTCATCTGAAAGAAAGAATCTGAATATTGTTACTGGGGGTAATCATGGATATTTTTAAAGAATTAGAGATCACCTTCTGCAAATCCCTTTCACTCAAGTGAAAGGTCATTATTATTGAAATAAAACAATATAATAACAATATTTGTATTTTGACATTTTAACCTTTGCAACAGGTGCAAGCTGTTACTGTTCATGCCACTCAAAAGTACTTTGTGACTGCTTCCATGGATAGTACTTGGTGTTTCTATGACCTTTCTACTGGATCATGCCTCACTCAAGTATCTCTCTCTCACTCAAAGTACTTTTGTGTTTCTTTTGTTTCCTTCTTCCTCTTTTTTCTGCCATCATCGACATGATACACAAGCAAGCATATGTACCCTCAAAACTTGCAGATGCTCCACTTGAATGTTGATTTATTAAGAACATGCATATGCAGGTTGGTGACGCTTCAACAGAGGAGGGATTTACTTCAGCTTCCTTTCATCCTGATGGTCTTATTCTTGGAACAGGCACCACTGGAGCCATTGTTAAGATTTGGGATGTCAAATCTCAGGTACTATATTGGCAATTTAGAAAGGTGATAGTTTGCAAGGCATGAACGATATGATTGCCTTTTGCTTATGCTGATGGAAACAAGAATATTTCAGTCAAATGTTGCGAAATTTGATGGGCATGTTGGATCAGTGACCGCTATGTCATTCTCTGAGAATGGTTATTTCCTTGCGGTAGGCTTTTTTTTTTTTTTAAATGTAGGAACAATTATAGAGGTTCACACTGCCTTGTAATGATTTATTGTTTTGGCATTGATCAGACTGCAGCTATGGATGGTGTGAAGCTTTGGGATCTTAGGAAGCTAAGGAACTTCAGATCCTTTGCTCCCTATGATCCAAATACGCCAACAAACTCTGGTATGCCACTGCTTTTTTTTTCATGAAACGTTTCTAATTTCTTCCTGCAGTCTTGTACTTTCTAATTCTAGTGCGCATGTTTAATTTTTTGATATAAACTGCTCTATCAGAACTACGAAGATTAATTGTGAAAGATGTCACCTCTGCTGCATGTAAAAGATCCATCATACTGCTAGTGATTCAATTGTTTCGGTGCTATTATGTTTCCTTATGTCATGGGAAGTTCTTTTTTTCTTCGCATGTTCAGTGGTAGTGTCTTGGGGATGGGGGAAGAGGGTCTGACCGATAAACTGCAATGGTTAAATTAATGTCATTGAACTTGGTGCTAATTTTCTGTAAACGACAATTTAAAAGCATCCTTTGTTTCTTGATGAGACGTTATGGCTAAATCAGACGTGCTTTTTTGTTGCAGTGGAGTTTGACTTCAGTGGGAGTTATCTTGCTATTGCAGGCTCGGACACCAGGTATGTTATTTTCAATTTCTGGCCTCCGAGTAATAATGTGCATATCTATCATGAGTCATTTATTGGAAGAAAGGACATGGACTTTAAAGGCTTTTGTGCACTAGAAGACGTCTGGTTGTGATTCTAAATGTTGGTAGTTGCTAATCAGAAAGATAAGATGTCATCCTTTTCATCTGATGTGAATAGAAACGTTATGGTGGATATGGTCAGTCCAGTGATTCGATGCAAATTAAGTTATTAGTCATTTATATTTTCTTCTTCTTTTAAATGGCTTGTTGCAGGGTGTACCAAGTAGCCAACGTGAAGTTGGAGTGGAATCTTATCAAGACGTTCCCTGATTTATCTGGAACAGGTGCAGATTTCTGATGCCAGATACAGTCGTCTGAATTATAAAACTTAGTTTCTGTTGATTGTTTGGTGTAATAATTTTGATGTCTCCAGGGAAAGTCACATGTGTTAAGTTTGGAGCTGATGCAAAATACATGGCAGTGGGTTCCATGGACCGAAACCTACGGATGTTTGGTCTTCCAGGGGATGACTCAGAGGAGCCGAGATCCCCTGATAATTAATGAGCCAAATTGCCAAAATCTCAATGATCAGGTGAGTTATGCCTCAGCAATTTTTTTTTTTTTAAATTGATGTTATGGAGGAGCGGTTAGACACTGCCTGCCCAGCATTATTGTACACTTCTTTGGGAGTTCCCAAGTGCAAGCTTAATTATTGTCGAACACGACCAATGGAATCATCTAACGTGAATTATTTTGTAGTTTTGACTTGGAGCATTCATTCAAACCATTTTCACTTCCCTAGGGTTTTGATGATCACGTTCGACTATGGTCGCTGAATTAATTTGTTGTATCCTCGTTTAAACGCAGCGATTTGGATGAGATCGCCTTATGAACGGACATTCAAATTTGATACTTCAAAAATCCTAGGATCGCCTTATGTGTCTATGGCTGCTCTTAGGGTGAAGTATGACATGGTATGCTGTACTCTGCTCGCCATCAGCGAAAGCCTCGGGCAACATGCATCAAACAGTAGTCACAGCAAGCAAATGTAGCAAAGTGTATGATAGAGAACAACAAACGGACGAGGCTCCCGTCAGGTCATCATGCAAGCGGGGATGTGATCAAGCACACGTTCTTTGTTTAGGGAGACACGAGATGGATAAATTTCAAATAGAACAAACTAATCAAGGCAATAATACAACATATGATGTGTGTCGGGACAGTAAATAATGCTGTAGTGCAACCCATCTTAATAAAAGAATAGGAATAAATAATTAGTACTGGCGTCTTCATCCCCATTTAGGCGAGATAATGAGATGAATGCGCAAAACTCCACAACTGCAGCAACGTGATAACAAGAAACTTAGACGACTAAGATAGCCTAATATCACAAAATGCCAAGTAAAAGAGAAGATGTTAAGACAACATTTCTTAAAGTAGTCGATCTAAAGAAAAAACACAAAAAAGAATGCTGAAGACTAGAATTTGAGTTAGCTCGTATGCAATTATAATGAACATAGAGATAAAAGAGATTAATGTATTCAAATAGCATAAAAGAACTCATTCTGGAGGTAAGAGACCAATGATAAGATTATTATTCTTTCTTTGGCTCGGCCATCAAATTTCAAGCAGCTAGTCAAGTTCTATTGCCACGAGATATGTTACCTGGTGGCAATAAGGGTCATTTTTAATCATCATAGTGATCATAAGAATAGTGTGCCATCTCATAGTGTCTTCTATTTCTATTATTTGTTGTCTCCCAGCTTTCCCTCTACTTTCTCTCATTTTACCCTTCTTTTAACTCCCTCTTGACTTCTTAATTTCTTCTTTAGTTTGGCTATCTTTCACCTGGAGTTGTAGAACTTTTGCAATACTCTTTTGGATCTAGGTTCAGTAATGAAAAACCATTCTGTCTGAACGATCATGTTTGACCGAAAGCAATATTTATCAAGTACATATAATTTTAGCATTTGCATGCATAGCCTTGAAGTAATATGTAACATGGCCAAAATGCTAAAAATTTGATCATGTGTATAAAACCAATGTACAGGTAGGTGTTAAGACGTCAAACTAGATTACAGGTTGTTAAATATTTACCTCAACATTCTTCAATTCAAATTCTGGACTATGAGCCAAGCATAGGCTTCCAAATGTTTCACATGGGCCACTAGTTCCATGTAACCTTTTCAACAAAAAATGTAAAGGCAATAGTTATTCCAAAAAGTTTGTTCATCTTAGGAGGTATTATTATACATCAAAACATGAACCGAAGATTCAGTATTTATGAAATAGAAGCTGAATGCACATTACTTACAAATCTTCATCAAGAGATAATGCAAAATGCCCACCCCCACCAAATGCTAGCATATCATCCAAGCACAAGTAGTAGAACCTATTTGTGCCTGCAAGCAATGGCCCAAGATTGTATACTTGCTTCAGTTCATCTTTATCAAAATATGCATATTCCACTTTGTACGTTGTTCCACACTATTTGATGTCAAGTATCTTACAATATAATTTCTAAAGCAGAAACCATCCAAAATTTAAGAGGTCATAAACCATGATGTTATTCAATATAAGTTCCAGGAAGTATAAATAATTAGATATCATAAAGACTGTCAAATCTGATCATGTGTATAAAACAAAGCTGTCAGCACTAGGCCAATAAATATTACACATTGATGCACAAAATAACCTAGATGTTGCAATCCTAAAAGTAACTCGATCAGCAACCACAATAAAATAGCATCAGGATTATATATATATATATATATATATATATATATATATATATATATATATATATATATATATATATATATATATCTTTGTGAATGCAAAGAAGGAAAATAGAGATTAAAATATATTCATATAGTAAAAGAATGGGCAAACGGTGTGCTTTAATTATAAAATTTCTGATCAAGAATAACCAGAGGAATACATGACCAGAATACATTAGAATTAGCGATCCATATCTTGGACATTTTTTCCTATATCCATAAACTACATGTGGAACGAAGAATTGTATTCTTAAGCTTTTCTATCCTTGATTCTGGGCATAAAATTGAATCATACCGAGTCTTTGATGCACTTATATAAGGTAACAAAAAAAATATTCTATAATGCACTTACGTGAGCAAGTAATTCTTTACTCCAAAGCAGACATAATAATTCAAAATAGATTGGACATTTCTACAATAACATGGTGACTGCTGAAGAAGCGCTCAAGATTATCACACCACATGGTCAACAAAATAGATGTTTCTTCACAAACCAATGCCCTTCTACTCCAATTGAAATTCAATTTTCCAACCAGTAACTTCTAGTCAAACACAACATTTTTGAAATCCATGATCTTAGTGCAGCATCCAAGGGTTTGTACCTAAACATATCTACAAGGTTGGTTCAGTAAAAATTATCACATCTGCTGATAGATGTACCGTGGCTTCTGACAAACTTCATAATTTCATTACTACATACAATTTGCCTTTTTGCTAATTTCAGAGGCTTATGGACCAAACTTTCTCAAGATTGCATTGCTACCGAAGAACTCTTCAGACATAGCTCCAATTGGCTACTAGATAACAAGTAAACCAATTAGGACTTTGGATTTTACAAATTGAACAGTCTCTACTAAATTAGACAGACCTATAAGTTGAACAGAAGTTCTGTTAAAAGCTAAAAATAATCCAGATCCTCATAAGTGAGAAGAAATTCATCCGACAGAACTATAGCGGATTGAGTTTGACCCTCTTGTGCCTCAATTGTCCTTGTTCCATTTCAAAAGCATGTAAATAGCCCCAAATTATATCGTGCTGTTCATGGTCTAAACTGTCAGCAGTAAGACATGCCTTTCCCGCTAGGAAGGGATGAAAAGAATAATGACAAACATCCAGGATCAACTCACCAATTGGGTCCAAAAAATTGCCAGCTCTGACATTGGTAGAATTGAATACCATTGCAAGTAAATCAAATTGCAAAATTTCATGTGTTGGTCAACAGAAGAACAGAATATGAAGGTTTAAATCTTTCTTTATTGCTAACACTTAATTAAATATGATTAGTCAAGACTAGACAGACTTGTAAATTATAACTGACCTATATGCCACTCCCGTCATATAACATTTCCATTTCTTACGAAAACACATTTACCAGATTCTGATAAATCCTACTAGCATCATCTGATACAACAACAAAGGTCCTTATATCATGGTCTTAAGAACAGTTTGGCAAAGATAAATGATTGTGTTAAACATTTACTGAGGAGGTATGCAATCATATACAAGTGAAATAATGAAATTAATTACCCGTTGCTCTAAAGAGCCTTGGTTCCCCATAAGTTGTAGTGAATACAAACGTTTGACTTGTTCCCTGCTCACTAACATTGTGATCTTAATCAAACTCGAGAAACAATGAAGGTTACAGAATTATAGAACAAATTTACAATAAGATGCACATTGTTGTGATGAGTTTGTAGAGTGTTACTTGGTAATTTCTTTTAGCTGTAGGCTTCAAAGGACTATCCAAAAGGCCACCAAATACAGCACCTTGCATATCTCCAACAATCTAGCAAGTAAAAAAGAAAACCATCACAAAAATCTATTCTTCAAGGTGAAATAGATGAATGGTTGCAATATCATACAAGGATGAGTGACAATCAAAGACTGAGAGCAGACAAGTACAACTTACTAATAGACATGGCCCTGGATGGTTCACACTGTTACGAAGAAGTGTTCGAAGCGATATCCCATGTTTCCATGTGCTGCCCTTCAATGGAGAAAGCAATCATATATCACAACCAATAAGACAATCATATAGCCTCTCGGCAACAATAGGATTGATAACATCTTACCTATACAAGAGAACCCATTGGCATCCTTTCACTATATTAGGCAAACATGACTGGAAAAACTCAAAAAGATCAGCAGACATAAACGTAGACTTCTCTGTAAGATAAGAAAGATATTCGCCGGGGTCATGTGTGATGGAGGTTTCATCAAGAACGCGAGAAACATTGACAAGCCTTTTCGGGAAATGATCCATGTTTTCCTTTGTACTCTCAGGCAATTCTTCACTCTCAAATCCCGTTCCACTTTCCTCGGGACTATCAGATGGTCTATCTTTCTGCGCAAGACAGTTGGTTTTCCATCCTCTTGGAAGTGAGCTATGTGAAGAAAAATTTACACCACGCCGCCAATTTGCAGGTGAGTTTTGCGCATTCGCATCAACAGCACAACTTGTTGAGTTCGGAAACGATAAACCTTGTGAAGAGTGAGAAAATTTCTTTGGAGACACATATTGTTGTGAAAACATTTCCTACAAAAGAGAGAGAGAGAGAGAGACATGATTTCAACGCATTTAGATGATGCAATGTCGTAGCATGTTAAAATCCCGACCAAGAAAGTTCAAGAAAATTCAGATCTGTAGTTCACGGTATCTTTTAAGGACGATCCATCCAATCAAACTTCCAAGAAATTGATCCCAGCAAACAAGGGGCGGCGTACGAAACAGATCAAGAAACAAGCGCTACAAGAATACACACACACACACCAAATGGGACTCCAACGGAATGTGCAATGGAATGTGCAATCGGACTCGAACAAGAACAGATCCGATCGGATACACCCACAAAAGGGTACAACGAGAGCATCGAACCTTAACAAGAACAGATCTAATCGCTTCGAGGAACCGGAAATCAAGAAAACGAGAGGGCGAGATCGAGCGGAACTACCTCAGGCTCCGACGAGGCGACCGGGGAATAATCTGCGGATGCAGAGGAAGGAGACGAGGGTGAGTCGGCGAGGAGCCGGGAGAGCTTCGCGGCCACCTTGTCTTTCCATGAGATCATCGCGGCTGGTGGCAGTGCCAAGGGGGAATCTCGGGATCGAAGCTTCAACCCTAACCGTAGATCGGGAGTCAATACGAACTTCGAGGACGCGGCAGCAAGAGAGGTGGCGTCCGTCGACGCTACGGTCCGTCCCTCGGCCGCTCGGATGGTGGGCACATAAATGCAAGGCGTGTCGTATAGAACGGAACGGAAAATGGGGACGGAAACGGTGAACGGCACGAGACGGCGTGTTTCCCAAAATACGCCTACGAAACGGACGTTTTCGTTTCCTTTGTTATTGACGTTGGTTGGTTAGCTTACGCGGTGCCATGCACGAATGGAAACAGAGAGCAATCTTGACTGGGAACCGCTGGCATGCCCAAGTTTATCATTTCAGATCCGAATCCGAAATCGACTTCTTTTTTTTTTTGTTTTGATAATCTACTTATTTATTTATTTATTTATTTTTTAAAAAATAAATAATAAATACGAGATTTAAACTTAGTATTAATTAAATAGAGAAAGAGTGGGGTGCTAAATCTACCATAAGATGTGTGCATGCATCCGTTCTTGGAATGAACCCAACAAATTATTGTGTGTCTCACTAAATTATTAACATGACGCAAGTAGAATTATTTACAACTTTAATTTGTGAATCTAAGCTAAATTAGTCTTTTTATTTTTTATGAGGAGATAAGAGTCTCCTCATATGATTGATCTCATGGTTGCATTCACAATCTTACCTACCTCTACGATGTTAAGTGCAAATTATATAGATAAGTGCAATTTATATAGATTAATAAGATAGTAAATTAATTTATACTAAGAAACATTAATGCTTTTGAATTGTTTCGATTTATAGAAAAGAGGTAAAGATTTTGACTTGTGTGAGAGCATATTGTTAGATTCTGTGATTGTTTATAACGGGATAAGATATATATATAATATAACTAATTGGATTCCGATAGTCAATAGAAAAAAAATTAGAATTTCTTAGAAGATAATCTTGAGAGGAATATCCTAATTACTTATCCTAGATCCTTTATTTTCGTCTATAAATAAATAGAACCTCTAGGGACTAAAGATTAAAACAGATATATTACAGATATAACATCAAGTATACGTTATAAAACTAGATCTAATTATATTTAATTTTAATTCTAACATAAAAAATTATTTTCATATTTAATATAATATATTACAGATTTTATGCTTACACATATATTATAAGTAATGATGTAGTAATTAGCCCATAAAACTCTAAAAGAAGAGTTCTATGTCTTAAATGCAACAAATAAATTAATGCACACAAGCATCTGCCGAACAAATTGATAATAAGAAAAACAGTGTATTAAATCATCCACAAGTCAGTTGCACAACAAATCAATTTTTACATTTATATTATCCCGTTAAAAATGGATAAAATTATTTCTTTTTTAATATAGTTCCTAGGTCGGATTTGAATGTTATCCAAACACATTGTCATTCCACATTTTTTTTTCCATGCTATAATTTAGTTAAGATTAACTATAAATTATTTTATATAATTAGTTATTTTAACATCTCAATCCCTATAATTTCAAAAAATTACATCGAGATCCTTATATTTATGAAAGTAAAACATTTAATCTCATTTTTCCTTCGTCAATTCTGCTAACAAAAATACTGCAAGGTTTACTACTAAACATATGTTGACTTTACCTTCGATTTATCATTGAGTATATGTAATATTTTCGTCAATAACATGAGAAAATACTAGACTAAATATTTCACTTTCATAAATATAAAAAACTCAATATAACTTTTAAAAATATAAGAAACGAAATACTAAGAATAACTAATTATAGAGATAATCTATAATTAGCTTCTTAATTCACTCTTCTCTCTTCATTCATCGATCATCGACTTCATCAACTAATTGCAAACATATCAAACAAAACATAAATAGTGCAGGAATCCAAATGCTGGCATCGTCTAATTGCAATCATCAATCTACAATTTAAGAAGTTAAAACTCATGCAAAGTGACTTACCTAGACGGTGCAGTTCAAGTTCCAAAAGAGCATATATAATAGTCACTGATCTCCAGTAAACAGATCACACAAAGGCCCATCTCTCTGGGACGGAGCAAACAAGCAGTGGGAGAGAACCGAAGAACTGAAGGTTATCCAGCCTATGTTTTCTGTCGAGAATATTCCCTTGAATCTGTATAGGGTTACATCCCTCCCAACCCAGAGGCAGATGTACATAATGATGATGATGAAACAAAGAGCATCTCCTTACAGGGAGTCAGCGCAGATCGGATCCGACACATTATTCTCTCCCTCACATGGTGGATGACACCCATGCGAAGAAAGGAAACAGCCAAAGGGAGGGCGGGTCTCTTCAGCATTCCATCAACTCTTACCAAAGGGACAAACATCCACTCCATCCCTCCTGTCCCTGAAGCCCAATGTTTCACAAGGACATCTTCCCCTCTCCATAGCCAAATTCCCAACAATTACTCCTCTGTTGCTTTCCTGCCACCACCAGTCCTCAAAAATCTGCAATCAATTCAATAGACCAGAGAAGTTATGTCACTGACACGCATGAAGCAAGGAACCCAAGAAGCAAAGGAACCAATCTCTCTCTTCTCAGAGACACTTACCATCCTTCTTCTTCATTACACTCCTGGCAAACAGCAAGCAGATCACCAAGAATCCAACCCCTGCTGCCCCTCCCACCACTATGGCCACTGTTTTCTCTGTTTGCCCTGATTGATACCCAACACCATTCGATTAATTACCATGTCTATGATAGATGAGAAAAGAAAGTATTAAGACTAAGAAGTGAATGCTTTTACAAAAAAAAGGCATTTCTACCTCTTTATCTCGTAAAAAGGAAAAGAACAAAGAAGAAAATATGTAAGCAACTTCTTAACACCACAAGAGTTGAATAGTAAATAATCTCCAAGTTTATCCAAATATAAGATGAAAAATGGAAAGAATGCAGTAAGAAAGTAGTCGAATGGAATGTGACGTTGAATCCATTACAAGCTTTACAAGAAAAGCTAAGCTTGGAATCATATAATAACCAAATCCAAAGGGAATAAAGAAAGCAGCTTTTAACCACAAATCAAACAAAAGAAATGCAAGGGAATGAAGGCAGCATTTACCCCCTCCGCCGCCGCCGCCGCCGACTCCGCCTCCTCCGCCGCCTCCGTGGGGAACGCCATTGGCGTAATAGCTGTAGCTGATGTAGCATTTGTCGAGGTAGACTTGGCCGGAGGCGGCGCCGCCGCATTCCACTTCAGACTTTTGGACCGCCTGGGCGATGCACTCGCTGCAGTCGCCGGCGTAGAGGTCGCCCTCGCACTGCGCCACGGCGTAGACGGAGGCGTAGCTGGTGGCGTAGAACCCCTGGCCGCCGGCGACGCCGCTCTGGAGCTGGGCGAAGGCCGTGTCGCGCTTCACCTCGAAGCCGCCGCCGCCGCCGCCGGAGCCGCATGCCTTGTAGAGCATCTGGGTGCCGGAGACCTGCGGGAAGCCGGAAACCTGGTACAGGGCGTAGCACCCGTTAAGCTGGACACGGGCAGCGGCGGCGGGGCCACAGAGGGACGTCCACATGGGGAGCACGCAGCCGACGCAGGCGGAGCAGTCGGAGGGGGAGAGGTCTCCGCGGCATTGAAAGAGACCGAAGAGGGGCTGGCCACCGACGGCCGAGGAGGTGGTGGTTTTGTAGAACTTGGCAGCGGCAGCTCGCGCGGTGAGTGCGGAGGAAAGGGCGGCGAGGGGTTGCATGTAGGCTGCCCCGCTGCCGGAGAGGGTCTGGTTGGCGCAGCCCTTATAGACCAGGGTGCAGAGGTCACCCGCCACGGCGGGGAGGAGAATCGTTAAGGTTATGGTAACGAGTGGGAATGGGGTTCTGGAGATTCGGGGAGGAGAGGAAGAGTGGCGGTGGCGGTGGTGGTGTTGGGCTCTAGAGATGCCCATCGACTAGGGTTTACTCTCTCTCTCTCTCTCTCTCTCTCTCTATCCCCTACTTTTCTTCTTTTGCGGGTTCTTATTCTAATCCCCTTCTAGCTCTTCTGGGTCACCCTGCGGTGGGAGCGGGGAAAGAGACAGTGGGATCCCCTTTCACCTTTACAACTTTGATTTGGGGACTTTTTCTTTCGACAGGGAGCCCGGAAGGAAGTGCGTTGGGGACTTTTTCTTTCGACAGTGTGTCGCGCTTTGGATGGATTTTACCTTCTCCACCTTTAAGCTTTAAGACTCACAATGGAGATTTGGAGACGATGGGGCGTGGTGGACGTGGCCGTGAACAGTGGGGGACCGGATAGGGGCATAAATCTCTGCGACGCGCGACCGTGGCTTCGATTCAACTCCTCCTCAAAGATAGGGGCACTAATCTTTTTCAATCAAACTAATTTATCCTTTGGACATCTTTCAACTATACCTGCGTTCTCCGTCCTGCTTGAAATGTGGGTATGGGACGCCAACCCGTGCCCTGGATTGCTCGACCCACATCATAAGCCAGTTTACCTACGAGCAACAAGTTGATAGAGAGATCAGGAATGTACCAAAGAAACTACATAAGCCACCCAGCAGACACAAAATATAAAGAGTCAAAAGACTAAAAGCGAAAATAAACATTGGGCTGCTTCTGAATACCCGCTAATAAAATGCTAACACAAAATTGACACTCTATAAAGAGAGAAGAATAACTTTATTGCAGCTCTTGGCAGAAGCTGGCCGCAATATATGCATGCATTAACATAATAGATATCTAAAACAAAGCTTCTGCTGGGTTGTGCCCATTTCTTGGAGCTTGACTCCCCAAGATGCCCCGTTGTTGGCGTGGACCTCGCTGGAGGTTTCCATTTCCTCTCAGGCGACTGTTATAATCCTTATCACCGATTTCTTGTGCCACAACCCTGCCAAAACTTCGACCACCAAAACGTCCCCGTGGAACTTCAGACTGATATCCACCTCTTCCTCGGCTCCTTCCTGCAGAAAACAAGAGAGCAGTGACATCTTGTTTACCAACTAGAGTAGATTTCTGGCAAACAAAAGAAATTTTCGTGATTGATTATAAAAATTGGCAACAAAGAAATCCATAAATGCTGCCGCACATATACATGCGAGGACCACAGGATAGAAGTCGAGGATAGAGTTTCATCAACACGAGGTACGCAAAAGAACATCAGAAAACAGATAAGGTGTAGTATTTAACATAAGGGAATGAAGACAAATCAAAATAAAAATGTCATTCTAAAAACCCTAAACGTATTAGGCCAATGCAAAAACACAAAAAGGTCAAGTCTTGACAGACCTCCAGTCACTGAAACTAAGGTTTAATATGACTGAAAGAATGATGGCCCGCTAAAGTGAAACTATGTTGCCTAGGACCCTAAACAAAACCTCACCTAGTTTTCCCTAGTAGCTCGTCAGCCAATCTTTATATGGACCTGGCAGATCATTCAGACAAAAAATAGAGAGAAAACTGCTGCTATTGTAGGTACACTATATGAAAATGGACAACATGATTGCTATCTAGAATCTACATTACATAAATTACAATAGGCTCCAAGTGATCTAGGTTTAGAGGAGTAACTTGGTGGACCAATTTCCACATCAGAGCAGAATATTTGCATATGAAGGCAATGTAGGAGGGATACTAGGAGAATAGAGTGCAGTAAATAAAAAAAAGGCCTATGGTCAAAAAACATAATTCTCATCTCAAAATATCAATAATTTAATAGTCATGGAATGAAGGCTCAACGTGCTACAGCATAAACAATATATGGAAGCATATGCAGCCACATACATGATTCCATATTCATATAGCATTTGATTAAACATAAACAAACATACAATTATTAATGGTAAATATATGCTAAAGACCAAACAAAGAATTTATACAAAAGAAGATAAATGTCAAAGTAGTGAAGTCACAACAAGCTATATCCAATCTTTAGTTTTGTAACAAAGTTGCTTTGAGAATTCTCATCCTTCGTTCACTTCTAGCAATTCTCAAACTATATATTTCTGTCGTAACCTTTGGGAATTCTCATTCTAAAAAGAACATTAGTTTGATGGTGATGCACCGAACCTTCTTACCAAAGGTTATAAGGTTCAAAATGTCATTAGTCTGATCAGGATGCCCACTTTAAAAAGTTAATGGTTCAAGACGTCATATGATAAATTTATACTTCAAATATTAATTTGGAGACGGTATACTAATCTACTTTCCAAAGGTTAAGGTTCGAAACCACATCCAACATCTTGCAAGCAATATCTTATCTACTCAAAATAGAATATAAAGTGAAGATATTACTCTGCAATAATAAATATAGGCTTTTGAGTCACAAAACTGTTCAAGTACATAGTTCAAAACTTCCAACTCCAATGCAAGATATGCAATGGGATGAAATATCATAGTGCAGATAAAACTGCAAATCACAAAGAAATTAATTGCATTTAAGTTCTTCGCTTAATAATGATTTCCATACTTCAAAATCAACAATGCTATATTGTCTTTAATCAACAAAGTACTCCAATAAAATATTTGCATAGATGCATAGAAGACTTGCATAATATGTAAATATTAAAAAATATAAGACTATCAAGTATCACATTGCTTACTTCCTCTTGAAGCACCCCCATTTGGTCTTCTCTCCTCAACATGAATCAGTCGCCCATTTAACTGTATTGGAGATGCCTGGAGGAATACAATAATTCAGAGCATAGAAAAGAACAAGATCTACAGGATAAAACACAAGAGAGAGAGAGAGAGAGAGAGAGAGAGAGAGGATCTTTGTGAGCTACATGCACATTGTTACATTTAAGTAGTTTTCTCAATATAGAATAGAAAGAAATCCTTCAGACTGCAAATTAATATAAAATGGATTTTCAATTATGAATTCTAAGTGTCCCATCAATTGTAGCACTTGGAGAAAATTACAGAATTCCAGCTTTCAGCCCGAAGTTATTTGGTACTGAGTTCAGACCGCATTAGAAATAATAAGGCGACATATCTCCTAAAGTCAGCGTACCTTAAGTGCATTCTGTACTCCAGTGGCATCTTCATACTCGATGAAAGCATAAAAGACACCAGCCTCCTGTAGATCAACAGATTAAAGCAATTATTTAAGAAAAGGAAAAAAGGCCAAAAGATGCAGCAAAGTCACCTTGCGGCTCCTAATGGAAACACCATCTGGTTTAAGTCTCCCAAAGTTTTTAAACTCCTGCTCAAGGTCGGAAGTTGAAATGGATGATGGAAGATTTCCGACATAGACTGATCTTTCTTCCCCTGGCATAAAGAAGGTCAAGATTAGATACGTCAATATATTGAATGAAGCTAAAAGAATAAGGATTGATCATAAGGAATTAGATTTTCCAAAAAAGGTATTAAAAGCTAAAAGCAGTAAGCGTTAAATATTATTAAACGGAAAACAAACAAGCAAATCTGAATATTGACTTGGAATATGGTCTGAATCTTGATATTGACGGAAAAGGTTCACTGAAAGCGAAAAAAACACCAATGTACGAGGAAACTCAAAACATTACTAGACTGTAGAGCATTTGAAAAATCTCATGTTATTAGTTTTGGTGCTTAATATGTTCAACATATTGTAGTAATTTACTAAACAACCAGCTATCCTATCAAAAATGTGATTTCTCCTTTCAAGATGTCAAATAGTTTTTCCCCAGTCTTTGGAAATACACAATGAATATGAGAGACACAGAATCAGTTACTTTGATATAGATAGAAACCTTCATCCTCAACTAGTAGAGCTTCATCAAGTGACATTGAGCTAGACTTCTCTGTTACCAGGGCAGATCGCAATTGTTGGGTGGTTGGTGGTGGTTTGTGATGCCTGTCTGGAGCCACCAGAGAGTTCTTGGTTAAAGACGTAGGGTGAGGTCCAGCTTGTCCCTTAGCTTGGAGCTGAGGTCAAACAGATTAGCCTGAAAAGGAACAAGATACAACTAAATATTGAAAGGTAGAAGTATAACATACAATGGAAGCATAAGTTTGCCTCCCTGCTTCTGCTACTGGTTCTTCTGCAGTAGGAGATAGGTCCCTTAAGTTGTTTATTGCATTTGGATGTGTCATAGTACGCTCTTCTGGAGGAGTTTCATCTTCTCTTTCATCACAAACAGGAAATTCCTGTGGCACTTCATCAATGGTATTATTATCACTTGAGTCATTTTCTTCTGCATCAACCAGAGACAAGTCACTTGACTTCTGATCACAAGTCAAATATATGAGCCAAGACCAAGACCAACAAAATGAAAAAGAAATCTATTTATGTCCTTGATAAAATGATTTTGTGAATTTAGAAACTTAATAACATTGATCCTTAAAAAAAAAACAAACTTATTACATCTGCTGAGAGAGGTGTAATTTTCTCATTGATATCCTAACTAAAAGGAAAAAATATATAACAAAAGAACTCAGGTATCAGGTTAGGCTACTAAGAACTTAAAAAAATAGAACAAAAACATAGTTACATATGTGACGGATGATTATTATATATTCCTTCAACCAAATGAGATGTGACTATCATACTACTTAAGTGGAAGTTCCTGCACAAACACATCAATAAATCCACACAAAAAGGAAACCAGACAACTGCATATCATGAATGTAGTTTTTCAGATATCAAAAGGAAAACAAAAACAAATTCATGTAAAGATGTCTCTGTTGCTGATTCTGGTCTTTAAAGAATATGATTTATAATCAAGTATTCCACATTGGCCCATAACATAGCCTCAGAGAAGATGGATAATTTGCAAACTAGTCTAAATCTTCAAGTTAAAAGAAAAAAAAATTCACAACTTCAAACTACTGAAAAAAAATGGAAGCATATTACTGAAGTTGAATCCCAAAGTGCATACTACCTGGCTCTGGCAAAGAGTTGGTTGCATCTTGTTTGGTCTCAAAGTCACCATGATCCAACACAGACTCCGGGAGCTGATGTACATGTTCCTCCTCAAGAAAATGAAAGATGTCATTAAGAACAAAGTACCCTTTCTCTTGAGGAGCAAGGAAAAATGTCTGCACAAATTTTCTCCTAATACTATATTCTTTCAGCTGCACATATCCAGAAACCATCACCAACACGCCTCCATTCCAAGATTCCAAAAAATGGGCTGTTTTGATTTCAATCCCATTAAAGTTTAAGCATATGACAAGATTGTGAATTTGCTGCAATGTTTAGAAGATATTAATCATCAACATGGATCAGCAAAGACTGAAGAAGAGTAAATAGTTAAAAGCATATAAATCCTAACTCTCAGGAAGACAAGTTGGCCCAATGCATGAAACTTTTGACAGTACATTCTTGCTCTTATGATCAAATGGTTATTTATGCAACTTGAACATTTTAACACCCATGATGAAAATGGGCAATTCTCTCATCTTGTAAGATATTCTTATACTCTTAATCTCTTATTAAACAAGAAACATGCATGTAAAAAAAAA